TATAGAAATCTTAACTCCTCAGAAACGCTCATAGAATAGCACAGAGTAATAAAAAAACTCTATTTTCCAAGAACTCTTTGGATTTTTAAAGTCACCATGGACTACATCAACATGTTCAACTTCATATGATCAACGCTCTCATCTTCCAAGATTGTTGAGAAGTACTCAGATTGGCTGTACCCTCACCACTACTCTCTCTAACATAGTCCAAAAATTTTGATTCCCAAAATACTTTATGGACTCAAAAAACTCAACTTCATCTTAGCATATGTCAACTTTCCCTTCACGTGATCAACGCCCTCCTCTTTGTCCATTGTTGAGAACTGCTCGGCTAGTGCCTCTACTCTCTCTGCTCAGTTCACTGTCAAGTGTGTGGAGTCGTGGGTTGCGGAGGTTGGGGCTGAGGTGAACGTGGGTCCTTGGGGCGGATCACGACGACGAGAGGCGGCCAGCCGTGCAAACCTTGGCCCCGATGGCGAGGCTTCCAGGTGAACACCCCTCCTCGGCCCTCAGCTCCTCCTGCTAGAACAGTTCACACTTCTGAACAAAGTCCTACTGAAGGTTCAGCAATTTCGCAACAACATCTTTAACCGAATCGATCAAGTTATTTGAATATAGTCTTTGAATTCCGGAAAGCCCTTTACGGCCATCGGCTCCTCCTGCTTCTTGCTGGTGTAGAACTGTTCACACTTCTGAACAAAGTCCTACCTACTGAAGGTTCAGCAATTTCGCAACATCTGTAACCGAATTGTTCAAGTGGTTTGAATAAAGTCTTTGGATTCCGGAAAGCCCTTAACGGCCATCGGATCCTCTTGCTTCTTCCTGGAGTAGAACAGTTCACACTTCTGAACAAAGTCCTACTGGAGGTTTTAGCAATTTCGCCACAACATCTTTAACCGAATCGTTAAAGTGATTTGAATAAAGTCTTTGAATTCCGGAAAGCCCTTTACGGCCATCGGCTCCTCCTGCTTTTGCTGGAATAGGACAGCTAACACATCTGTGAAAATTGCTAATGAAAGTTCAATGGTTGAATTACTGTAACTCCCTCAACACCTTGAATCGTTGAAGTAATCTTCTACTTCGAGAGTTTTTTTTCAAACTTCGGACAAAAACAAGAAATTCCTTCGGCGATTTTTCACTTGGATCTACAGTATTTAAGGTTTTTTTAGCTAACAAATTCCTAAAAAATTCTTGCTTTTCTACATAACATTCTTTTAAAACACTATTTATTTATATACAATACGGTCGCTTCTTCGCAAAAACTGATCTTCTGACAAAAATTTTATGTTTGTAGGAGAAACTGTTAGGAGAACATTTAAAAGATTTTAACTACTGATCCTGGCCGGGTTAAGGGCAGCCCTTTGGAATAGATCCCTACTTAAAGTCCGGATATATAGTATTTTCAAACTAATTGTTCTTAAGGAAGTGCTTTCATAACAAACTAGTTTTCTTGAATAACATTTCTTAACAAATATTCTTTATCAAGAGAACAGCTTAATGCATTCATTACTGAAACCTGAATGGTCATGACTTTGTCCTCGAAGACAAACCTTCCAGAAAATTCTTATCGCAGTTTATAATAATTATAATATGATGAATTAAGCTTTAGGCCAACGAGACCATTTTTAGAGCGTGGGGTGGATACAAACTACTAGCTTAAGAACAAACATGGTCTACAACGGCTCTTGACTCATCTAGCTTCTTATCTTGCTCGAGTCTACAGTAGAACATTTCTTCTTTTTCCTTCCTTATTAGTTTCTTCTTTATCTGGCTTGATTTTAACGTCTTTTAGCTGGAATGTTTTAGGTCGCTTCAACTAAATATCTCGTAACCAAAAAATACCAAACGTTTAAATTAAAATTCAACTCTTCAACTCTCTTCCACTTCCTTTCGTCTGCGCGTTTCCTCCAAAGATGCTGGTAAACAAGGATGCATTTATCAATTGAGAAACTCCTCTGTTGTCAGAAGCGATCTATTAATACAACATTCTTTATATTTCCACGAAGTATATTCTATTTCAGGCCTCTTAAGAAGTCTATATTTACCCTTCAAGGTCCAAATTGTATTGAAACCCTGAACTCTAACTTTCACCTCGTATTTACGCCCGACCTACCTCAACAAGACAAATTTGGCAATTTCTGTGAAGAGGTGTAGTAATGCATGAGAGTGGTTTACAAAGTTTAGTCACGTGTTCAAAGAAAGTCACTCCTATAAATGAAGTAATTTACACGATAGTCTGTTTAGATTAGACGAGATTGCATTTTATTCTTTTGTTCTTCTGATTCAAAAGCTATTTCGTTAGATTTTTTAAATTTTCAATTGTGTTAAAGAATATCTCACTTTTCTTTGTTTTAATATCACTTCTAAAATAAAGCAGTACACACAAAAATTAAATTGCCTCACTCCTAATTCTTTACCTCTGCGTTCATGCTCTGTAAACTCTCAGCAATCTGCACCTATTCTTTAGAGTTTAGGTGGCGAAACAACGATAATCTTTCAAATCCAAAGCCACTGGAACCACGTTTTCTGTGTTTATCATGGTATGCTTAAATTAAACCAATTAAAATTCTATGAAATTCTTTACAACCAAGTGTTAATTTTTCCAGAATCACCTTTGTATAGTTTTGTGTGTGTGAACACTTCGTTCCCCAAATTTTACCCAATGGATGAATTCTATTTTGATGAGGACTTTAGAAGTTGGTGGAAAATCACTTCTAAAACAAGAACTTATGTTTCGCTCACCCTTAATTGTTTACACTCCTAGATAATATAGACTCGGTAAACTTATCGAAACTCAACAAACTACTATCAGCTATGCAATTCTAACCGTTTCTTCAGCCGTTCCTCATTAGTCCCGACGATACACCGAAGACCTCTCACCTCACACCTAGGGCGTTGTCTTATCTTGCCCAGGTGAAAGCTCTACTTGCTCGTTATCACCGACTTCCGGGAAATCAGCTGTTATCAGAACACCGACCCAGTTCCATCTACACAAAGCTAATGTCCACTTGCAACACTGCACTTGCACCAACCTTGCATCTGAATCTGAGAAATACCTTGGGGTCAGTTGAATTAGGCATTGGAAATTTGCATTCGCTATTAAGTACTGTACTAAAATAGTTTGGTCCGGTATTTGTTATGAAGCAAATACGTTTCCTCAACAGATTGTTGCAATGTTGTTTGTTATCCTAGAAGAGATGGCAAATATTGTTGGTTTGCGTTTTGTTCGCTGAAAATGCTTTTCTATAACTATTATGAAACATATCAACCCTTCATTGAGTCATCAGTAGTCTCCATTCAAGGGGGAAGCGTTACGATTGTCCTAAACGTTGTTGATCCATGAGAAGAGCACCTGTAACTGTATTCATGTGAAGAAAGTCGTGACGACGTTTTGCATCGTCATGAAAATTCCTAGTAGTAAAGGACGAAAACACATCAGCTGAAGAAATGTGTTACAGAATAACCCGTCTTCGGCCATTTTCCTGGGAGACGAGGTAGCTTAAATCTCTTTCGAGTTGGACAATGATATCCATTATGGAAATGATGACAACTCATTGCAACTTTTGTTTGGGTAGAGTACGCCTGGTAGCAAGAGTTACTCTGATTTAGAGCGAAGTCTGATTTAGAGACCCCATCCCAACCTAACCAAATATAACAAGCGGAAGGAGGTAACCTAACATAACCTCTCCCTACACCCCACCTGAATCGGCTTTTCTCGTGAGCCATCGAAAATGGTCGATGAGTCGGTGGCTCAGTCGGTTGTACGATGGACCATAAAAGACAGCGATGTCTTGGGCTCGTGTTGCGGTACCACCACTCAACATTTATAATTGCAATTCATTCTTGTACCGTACCTCTTGTTTTGCTTGAAAAGCTCAACGCACTTGTCTTTGAGGCTCTTGTGGGCAGGCAAATCCAACATAAAAAATGCCAGCATTCGCAAAAGGATTATTTAAAATATACGCCTCTTCTAGCCATAGCAACACAGTTCTTTTTTTACTTTTACTTAAATAGAAACCTATGTTTCGATACATCCTATACATGTACTATATTCATGTTGTACTGTGATATTCTACTCTAACAGAAAATTAGCAAATCTTCAACATATTTTTATCCCATCCATTGTTGTTTCTCGTGTGCAACTCAAGCCAGTAGAGATGTCAGACAAAGACAGACAAGGTTTCACTGTCCTAGAACTTTGAATAGCGGCCTTGACGGCTTGGCTAGACTAGGCTAGACTGCAATATTGCATACTATGCACTCTACTCCGCATCGCTCTAGCCTGCTTGCATACTGCGTGCAATCTGTAGTCGATTGTATGGAAATTCGTAACAACTTTGTCACTTGCGTATCTGATTGTGCTTAATCTTGCTATTGGAAAGTAATTTGTGTCTCGCTCTTATTAGTGTGAGTTGAAAAGATGTTAACTCCATTAATGTGTATTATGGAGGAAAATTTTCATTGAGATTTTAAGTTCGCCGTTTCCTAATGAATAAAAAAACAGTTATGCACTTATGTAAATGAAATAAAATCAAATTCAAACTATTTTGCTTACTAATTTCATTCCTTGTGTTCCTTGGCACTTTATCTTACATGGTAATATACATTTTAATATTTCAAATAATATATAAACAATGAATTTCCACGCCTCTTTAAAATCAACCGTATCATCTTCACATATGTTAATTTGAAGAAGACGTTGGAGTAATTTGTAATGGGCGTACCAGAGATATTATAGTTTGAATGTCTTGATGTAAAACACATGAATTCCCATCGCTCCGTGTATGAAATGCTACTTAAAAATTTCCAAAGATTATATGATCAGTTGAGAGCGCAAGTTGCCGCTAAATAGAGTAAAATAATCCACTTAGAATAAGAAACGCCTACAAAATTGATGTAAATGCTGTGATTAAAGATAAATCTTTGTACATATAGCTAAATGTAATTTTTGAAATTACAATATTGTTTTATGTTTACTAATGTGTTTTATTTTTTTACAGGTTAGTATCGGAGGGCCACGGGACGCCCCGCCTGTGGTGAGATTAGAATAGATAATAACATGAATATATTATAAACACTACCTATCATTTCAATATTCTATACAGCAGTTATACTACTGTAACATAAACACATTCTGTATTTATTATAACACATAGTGGTAATTTGTTTTACCGGCTTGAATGTGTATGTATTGAACGTACCAATTCAATATTTAGATTCAGTATTGCTATCCATCATGAATTTCATTTTCACTATATTGCCAGAAGTTACGTTTCGGGGGCAATTAAAATACCCTCTTGCATCAAACTTGCATATTAAGACATTTTTATTGGTGTTTCTCGTAATCAACTTTGAAATAATAGAAAATTACACATAGATAATCCCAACGCCAAAAACATATTATTTTAATCACATTTTGTTTTAATTATTGATGTGGATAAACAAAGGCTCTACAAGGCTCACGGTAAATTATTATTAGTAAATTCTAAATAAGATGCATGGTCACTTTGATCCAATTACAATTTTTTAAAGATTATTTGTATTTCTCAGTTTCTCTTAGAATTGTTTTACATTTATGTATGTCAATCACTCATTAAAACTACTCTAAATTTATGAAAAAACTAGATACTAAATTTAAGATGCTGTTTTGAGGTTATGAGGTACAGTTATTTTTCAACAGATATTTTCATAGCTATTTTTTTATATAACTCACTACATGTGTAAGTTATATAAAAAAGTTAAACTGCTCGTTATATTTATAATTAAATGATATAGCACCCCTAAAATATATATTTAAATTTAAATAACGAGAAAATCAGCAAGAGTCTTGATGATGCTTTTTGCCCGTGTGGTACACAATGGTCTTACAGCACCATTCGCTAAGCAAGCTTATTAAATTTAAAAATGGAATTCAGATGCACGTTTTCCCCTTTAAAACTACACTTATATAATGGGATTTAAATGTAACTAGTTCTTTACTGTTGTTGCCAAACAGTCCTTAAAAAATATTCAACTATTTGGTCTTGAACGATTGTGGTAGTGTAAAAAATATATTAATCAAAAATAATTTAATCGTATTATACACTCACTAAAAATATAATAAAACTAAATCTAAATGTTTAAGGTTCTTGTAATATTTTTTACATATATATATATATATATATATATATATATATATATATTAATATTAATCCAAAGTTAGCTGCTACCTTTCTCTATCATTGACTCTAGATACTTCATGAAGATTGTACATTCCAATATGATATGCACAATTTTTATTGGCGTTTCATGGTCTTTACATGCTTTGATATTTTCAACGAGCTTCCTCATAACTAAACTTGCTGTTGGCATACCAATTGTTTACATGTCGTAAAATTTAATAGTTGCATTCTCATACACGAATATTTAAATTTAAAAACAACAATTTAAAAATAAAACTAAGTTGGCACATGCCTTTGGTATCTATAAATAGTAGGCCTAAGTGTGTTACTGTTTTTCATCAATTCCGGACGAAGGACGGGTGCTCTGCTAGTTTATTTTGCCTTTTAGCCTAAAAATACAAAATTTTAATATATTAGGCTATATAACCATTGAGTATAATATTCATCTATTACTTATTTAATACGCAAGCATGTTTTTTGTGACAATTACTCCTCCGAAACTACTGAACCGATTGACATGTTTTCGGTGTCATTGGAAAGAGCGTAACGTGAAGTTGTGCAGGAAACTTTCTTTTTAGGGAAATAATTAGAGAGTGAGGCCCTGGAACCCTTTAAAGTTTCGTATTTCTCCATAAGATTAACATGGGAAACAAAAATTGTTATGAAACTCCAGCTGTTGTCAGAAGTTAAAAGTGAGAAGAAGAACATATGTTAATTCTAAACATTCAATAAGTTTGCTAATACAGTTTGCTACAAACATTTACTTGAAATGGAATATTACTATTTGAATTTGGGTTAGTGTAAATATTACAATGGAAAAAAGCGAGAGAGCCTGGATAAATTGATATAATACTGTTATGTACATCTTGAGTATTTCCGTAATCTTTTGGTCGAATCTTCTAAAGTCATCAGAAATTATGACCGTTAATCCTTTTAAAATAACGCTTCTAATACTTAGCAATTGCTCGAATTCGAGCAACAGGGACACTAGTATATACTTAATTATGTAACTCTTTTACGCCCATTTATCACCGTATTACTTAAAGTAGCCTACTAAACGCGATGTACGTTTTCTACTTTGTTTCTGTGCTCCCGTGCGGAAAGTTTCTCGAGTGCAGCAAATAGACTTTCCGCTCGTGTTATACATTATATTTTTCCTGCAGTTACTATAAAACATAAATAATGGCTAATTATATGTATATACAGGTTAACTTTTAATATTCAGTTTCACAAATTAACAAATTCAAACCGTAATGTAATTGTCTCACAAACAAATGAAACCTAAATAAAATTGTTTACTAATAGGCCAACTTAGCAAATAAAAATCTGAATTAAATTTCACAAATATAATTAATCAAAATCTGAATATAATTGTTCGTTTGTATTTTTTACGTTAACACGCAGGCATACTCGTATTACGTACCTAATACACGCACACTATTTGCGTCGTTTGGTTGGTAATACTAGAGTGCGGGAAAGTAAAATGAGTGCAGGAAAGTAGGCAAATACAGGAATCAGATACTTTGCGTGCTACAATAAGTTTCAAGTTAGCCCGCTTTGCCATGTAACTGTAGGAAAAATCACATTGGTTTGTAAGTCGTAGTAGGTAGCAAACTTGCGTATTCATTGAACTTGGAATACAACGTGAGTTACTGAAGGTAATGAAAAATTGCTCAATTTGTAGGTTTGCTGCATCAGGGGTGTTATATTGCTTCCAAGACGTACTACCTTTGGCGAACGTAACATTTTAATACTCACGCACATTAATGATGGATAGCGTTAATGAATAAGATTTATCCTTTTAATTATAAAAACCCAATGTTTTGTATATGTATTTTGTAAGGTAAGTGAGATTAGGTTTTGCTGTTCCAGGAATTATGACCCTTACGAAAAGCCCGTGTGACTTGGACACGATGAGCCTTTTCCAAGATCTCAAGTTGAAACGGAGAAAAGTCGACTCTAGATGTAGTAGTGACGGTGAGTAAAATTTATCCTTGCTGTAATTTTACATTAAATATCAATAATAAACTAAGGACTAACTAGATATGATATTTTCGTTTTGTGATTGAATATTAATTTACATTGTTGTGTTGTTATTTGGGGTCACATTAAATTCTACCCATTTTACTTTGATATTGCAGTATTAGTTTTCAAACAAATCTTAATTGATGAAATGTCTGAGAGTTTTATTCCATGTAACCATAGTCAAATTAATGTTTTACCAACTCCTTATTTAAGATTGAAGATTTGATTATTGGTCTAACGATTTTCCAGGCCAACCCAAATCTCAGTCATATATGGAGTCGCCAATGCTTGGATGTCAAACAGTTTAAACCAAATTGAAAATCCACAGAGTAAACCAGATCTCGCAATGTTTTTGAAGAATTTAAACATTCTACCAACATACAACAATAAATAATGTACTTAGAAGTAATGCTAACTCGGTCACACAACAAAACAAAGAGTAGACCCTACGATGGTCTAGAACTGATCTAAAGATGTCCAACTACAATGAAGACTAAAATTTATCTCAAGTTACCTGTTTGACCCGTTCTTACTCCGAAACCATTAAATTGTACTAAACAATATATTTCAATTTAATAAATTCATGATACAAACAGTACCAATTGGAATAACAAAACACAACCGATATCCGTGACAAATTTAAATATCTCCTAAGAGAATCTTGACTTCAGGAAGACCCTTCATGCCTCTAGGACTCCTCTAGGACACAAGTACTCTAGGAAGTCCTAACCTCCGTTATTTACTACCATTTTACGACCTAAGTCCCCGGTCTAACTATTATTTACCTTGCTAGAAGTACTAACGACACGGCGGTACGTTCCTTATTGTTGCATAGAAGTCCTCTTCAAGGGTCACTCCAATAGTAAACACCGACCAATGTCATCGCAGGCTGGCGGTCACCCGGGGAAAGGAATTCGCGATTTGTGACGAGGTTGAGTTTTATTGTGTAGAGCAAATTTTTATTTTATTTTACGGTGTTCATAGGTTCTACCCTTCTTAGATTTATTATCGTTATGGATCAGCTGAAGGCAATTTTAAGGTTAGTTCCGTTCGGTTTAGAGGACTTTGTGTCTACAAAATTAATGTCTTGTCATTCGACCGATAAAAAACGTTCAACCGGATTAAACTATATTTAAAATATATGTTTTATGTTGCTCTATATGTAATAGAGTAAGACAAATCGAAAAATATCTACTCTAAAATAAAACAAAAAAGTGTTCGAATCAGTTTACAAAAACATCAACAACTCGAGACTCACGTAAATGCATAAATGGGTTTACCCAAGCGATTGAAGCGACGAAACTTATTACCGCTCCTCTCTAATTAACAAACCAGTGTCTGTAACGTTTTATTTTTACCGTTATCCGTTGAAATGGGTCGCAACGGTAAGCCATTGGAGCTATATTTTCCAGTAAACCCTGCAAGACCAGACAGCACTCGTCTGCTATGTCTATTGTAGCTTCGAAGGAACTTCAGAGATAACCTAGTACCGCTCATCTTGTGAACAAACCAATGCTTGACGTAACGTGTTATTTTTACTGTTGTCCGTTGCAACGGTTCGCAACGGTAAGCTTGGAGCTCTATTTTACAGTAAACGCTGCAAGACAAGACAGCAATCGCCTGCTATGCCTATTGTAGCTTCGAAGGAACTTCAGAGATAACCTAGAACCGCTCATCTGGTAAACAAACCAATGCTTGACGTAACGTGTTATTTTTACTGTTGTCCGTTGCAACGGTTCGCAACGCTGCGTTGTGGCTCCTCTCACTTTCATTGAGAAGGCGCCCTCGAGTTGTTTACGGCGGCGCGCAGCCTTGACCGCGCATGCGTAGAACTAGTGTGACTCGTCACCGCGCCGCCAGGAGCGCCTTTGTTCTGTGACGTCATCGGGTGACGAATGAAATCACCATACGTCACAATTCGCAGTAAACGTATTCTACTAAATAAAAAAAAGAAACATAGTGCCTATTGTTTTCAGGCTTAAACATAAATGACAGATAACAATGTGTTCACAATGTATTTGAAGGGATGTTTACATGTCTATCTACTCCACAATCTAGTAGACTGAATGGTGAACTAGTTTTTCTCATCGATGCAGTTGCATGTTATCTAGGCTCGGATGGTTCTGTTGAACATTATAGCTGACTGTAAGGTCATCGGGCTGCCGACCCCGTCGCCTTGGCACAGATACTGTAGACCGCCAGTGTTGTATTGTTACACTAGCTGCAGACATAACCTCAAAGATAGTAGTCGTACTATCGTACTGAATTAAAATGGAAAACTGTTTTTATTTATTCTCTTGGAATAAAAATATAGAAAACTCGCCTTGAAAGAACCTCTGGTCCTATTTGAACAGAAACATATTTTATGTAGACTAAGTTTTGTGTATGTTGGATGTTAATAAATAGTTTCGTGCGGTCTTAAGTTAATTTATTTTGCCATTAAACATGCATTTATTCGTTGGTTAAGAAACGCTACTTAATGTATACTATATAGTAAAATAAATTTCCAAATCAAGTACGGTACTCACAATTTGCTTTGATATTGATATAACAAACCAGTCTTGTATATGAATTCTACAATTTGCAGGGTTTTCGATGCCAATAGTGGAATGACATCAGGAATGTGTATTTAAATGACGCAGTACCAACTCAGCATCTTTCACTGGTCCACTGACCGATAGACGGCCACTCTTTGTATACTCTATGCATTATTATCTAATCGTAATGCACTGCTGTTCAGTTTATACTCCATGCAGAGTATTGTTGGACTGGAAAATGAGATGGTAGAGTTGCTAGCTCGGCCGCCGACCTCGTCGCCTTGGCCTAGATAGTTCACAGCCAGCACTGTCATATATAACTGTATACTCTATGCACTGTTCAGTTTATACTCCATGCAGAGTATTGTTGGACTGGAAAGTGAGATGGTAGAGTTGCTAGCTCGGCCGCCGACCTCGTCGCCTTGGCCTAGATAGTTCACAGCCAGCACTGTCAACTGTATACTCCATGTACTGCTCAGTTTATACTCCATGCAGAGAATTTTTAGACATGAAAGTGAGATGGTAGAGCTGCTAGCTCGGCCGCCGACCTCGTCGCCTTGGCCTAGATAGTTGACAGACAACACTGTCATATAACTGTATACTCTATGCACTGTCCAGTTTATACTCTATGCAGAGAATTGGTGGACAGGAAAGTGAGATGGTAGAGTTGCTCGGCTCGGCCGCCGACCTCGTCGCCTTGGCCTAGATAGTTCACAGCCAACACTGTCAACTGTATACTCCATGTACTGCTCAGTTTATACTCCATGCAGAGAATTTTTAGACATGAAAGTGAGATGGTCCTCGTCGCCTTGGCCTAGATAGTTGACAGACAACACTGTCATATAACTGTATACTCTATGCACTGTTCAGTTTATACTCTATGCAGAATTGGTGGACAGGAAAGTGAGATGGTAGAGTTGCTCGGCTCGGCCGCCGACCTCGTCGCCTTGGCCTAGATGGTTGACAGACAACACTGTCATATAACCGTATACTCTATGCACTGTTCAGTTTATACTCTATGCACTGTTCAGTTTACACTCTATGCAGAGAATTGGTGGACAGGAAAGTGAGATGGTAGAGTTGCTCGGCCGCCGACCTCGTCGCCTTGGCCTAGATAGTTCACAGACAACACTGTCATATAACTGTATACTCTATGCACTGTTCAGTTTATACTCCATGCAGAGAATTTTTAGACATGAAAGTGAGATGGTAGAGTTGCTAGCTCGGCCGCCGACCTCGTCGCCTTGGCCTAGATAGTTCACAGCCAACAACCAACTCACCGACTAAACCTCAACACATAATCACTATCGCGTGCGGTTTGTTGGTTTATGTTCACGCGAGGCGACTACGGTATTGTTAGAGTAGACCTGCGTGGATTGTTAACGGCTGCGGTGTAAATAAAGCTCAACATTGTTGAAAATGTGTTGAACAAGTATGATGAAACTAGGCAAACAGCCATCAATCTGCAGGTCTGCACTGTACGTTGCTAAAATGAAACTTATTTAATCATAGTTTTTCTGCAACAACCGTATTTTTTTATCAAATTTACTGCCAGACTCACTGACATTATAATTGGCTAGAGTGAGTATTCCACGTGTTAACCACAAGACAATTCTTCTGAGATTCAGCTTAACCACTGTCAGACTCAACTAGCTCTGGAAGCGTAAAAACGTCTGGCAGTGAATTTGATTCGACGACGTCCAACCGCTAGAGATCCTGATGCCGCGAATGTCCGTCGTTGGTTCGAAATTTAACAGACAGCAGCTCATAAATCTAATTTTCATCAAGAGAAGCAGCATTAACTTTTTTAAACTCGATTTCATCGAGTAAAACGTTAAAACACTCAGTTCCAAAAAAGTAACATAAAAACAAACGAGTATCTACGAGTATGTATATGATCTGGCAGATGAGTGGCGGGGCGTGAATTCAATTCATATTAACTTTAGCTCTATAAAATGTAAATAAAGACAAACAAATGCCTTTATTGACATCTAACGCATTGATCTCTTTTCAAACCACTGTCCAACAATGCCTTGTGCTTTAAATGACGTTATGATTCACGTGTGAGAAAAACGTTCCCCTGCTTTGTTTCCCAAGGAAAAACAAGTTTAAATGAACATTGATAACATCTTTAATAGTTCAAGGTCGTAAAGAATTGATAAGGCACGAGCACATAGTTCTGCGGTTTTCTAAACGGCTAGAATACAGTGTTGACAGTGTATCTTGATTGTTTGTGTATTTCTGTTAACCATTTGATATTTGATATATTTGTTTGTGTGACGATGGTCCAGCAGGTTACGTCGATTCACTTATATGCTCGTGTAGAGATGTTTGACACGAAACTATCTATGGGAGGTAATATAAACAAAGAGATCCATATGTTCATAGCACGTAACGTTCGATTATCAAAATCATTGCTTATAATCTTCCTCTGTACAAAGAGGAAACAGATTTTGATTAAATACAAATTTTGTATTTAACAACTTAGATATTTAAAAAATATAAGCGTAACTATGACTGCAAACGTCTTATACACTCATGTGTTTACTTTCGTGTCTGTGGAATAATTAAATTAAACTCATGTTAGTTAAAATTAAAGGTGTAATTGTGCTTAACTTTAAGTAAATGTCCGTACTACTGTAGTACAAGAAGTTTATTTCATTTTCGTGCCCCAGAATGTAATCAATTTGTTTTACAAAGTGTTACTGTGATTTGTATTCTAGAATAGACTGTGCGTACCCAGGATGTAATTTGTGTATTCAGGATATTTTGCGTGTCCAGGATATGTTTAGTACATCCAGGATACAATTTGTGTTATATAGCATATACTTTGTGTATCAAAGATATACTTTGCGTATCTGGGTTATACTTTTGCAGGATTCAGTATTTAGTACTATTGCGTTTTATGGATTTAATTTTATTTTCAACTAAAATATACTTTATGTGCTAGGGATATTTTTCTGTATCCAGGATATTAGCCGAGTAACAGGGGACCTAAAAACGTGCATAGTTTCATAGTACTGAACAAAATTTCCCAAAATTTCCACGGTCGATGAGTTATTTCTTTGACGCCCCTATTTTCCCTTCCGTCCGTCTTTGTCCCGTTTCCCTTGTCTAGCAGCACATTTCTTACACTCTATATTTGTCCTCAGGTGAAAGTGTAGCAGACACAAGTGCTTCCTCCCCAGATATGGCTGGACCTGGCTCCCCGTGCAAGCTGGAACTCGCACGTTCCTCTCCTAGCCCAGGAGCCCATAGAGATAGGTGAGCCTCTACTCCTACGTGAGTTTTGGTGTTAACAAAATAAGTTTTGGAATTTATTGTCGCAATTTGTATGGTTATATAAGTCCTCGATAGAGATTTCTTTGTGTGGCATCTTTATTTTAATATCAGATTTCCTGGTATTGAAGAGTGAATCAGTCAATTCGACTCAGGGAAAGACTGCCATTAGGGTAATCACTGCAGTCATTTGTGATAATTGATTACCAACATAACGAGACAATAATGCCAACTGCTCAACGATTTACTTAATTCTTGAGTGCAATGCGTTAAGTTTATATGTTAGTTAACTATTTTTGACTGCTGTGGAGGTGACGATGTTGAAAAGATTGTAGTGTGATTTGCAGAGTGTCGTCGCCGGACTCGGCGCTGCCGGAGAGCGATCGTCCCATGGCGGAGCCCTCGGACCCCTGCGGCGGCGAGCCTACGTCGGACGTGAAGCCGAGGATCAACGAGGAGCTCAACGTGCGAGTGTTCGACGGTGGAGGCGGAGTCTCGAGGACGGAGACGTCCGGACAGAACTTTTGGTTGAGTACCCGCGTGAACGGTGACATACAGGACTTGATGACGGGGGGATACGCCTCTAGTGAGATGAAACCTCCTGAGAGAACACCGACGTCACAAGCGGGGCTAGTGAGAGACTTGCAGGACGTTATGACGGGCAGCTACACCAGCGAGATGAAACCTCCGGAGAGGACGTCGTCGACCCAGTCGATGACCGCGGACGCCGAGGTAGTGGCGGAGACTCGTGAAATGTGCGACGCGAACAAACCCGCCGAGGACGCGAGTGCGAGTGCGAATGTGTTTGAGCCCCGGACTGCGACGTCCTCGTCGTCGACGACATTCTGGGTGTCCACGGGGACGTCCACGGTGTGCCGGGTCAACGGGGACATGGAGTACCTAAACAGTGTGACAGTGTCGCCTCAGAGGACGGAGTCGCGGCAGAACCTGACGGTGATCGTGGGTGACGCCGCGAGTGACGAGGGTGCGGAGAACAAAGTGAAGGTGAAGGAGGAAGTGAGTGGAGTGTTCGGAGAGGACGCAGTGGCGAGATCGCGGGAAGTGCCGGTGTCGGTGTCGACGTCGCCCTCGGTCTGGGTGACGGCGGGAGCGCCGGTGGTGTCGGGGTGTCGCATCAACGGCGTCATGCCGGAGCTGATCGGAGGTGGAGTGAACTACGCGGAGCAGATGAAGCCGCCAGCGTCGTCACCGCAGCGGGTGAGCAGTGCGGGCGTGCGGCCGGCGCCCACCGTCATCATGGGTGAGGCCGGGGGTGTCCGCACCATGATATGGTCTCAGCCTGTAGCAGACACCCCTCCTACATCAACACCGTCCAACCTCGCCTCCACCTCCTCCAACAGCGCGTGGTCCACGTCATCAGTGTCGTCGCCGTCCAGCGCATCCAACAGTGAAGAGTCGGCCGCTCAGCTGCTGCTCAACCTCGGCCAAGAGCGAGCGTTCCGGTCGCCGCACACGTTCCCTGTCCCTCTCAACATGGAGCGACTCTGGGCGGGCGACCTGAGTCAACTGCCCTCCAGCCAGCAACTCCACGCTCTCAACCTGAGCGTGGCGGCGCCGTGGCCGGGGGCTCCCACCCCCTGGACCGGTGGACAGGCTCCCCACTGGCTCAAGAACGGCGAGGTTCCACCCAAGGCTCCTCCGCAGGACGACCAGGATGACGAGGACCAGCCCATGATCTGTATGATATGCGAGGACAAGGCTACTGGTCTCCATTACGGCATCATCACGTGTGAAGGGTGAGTCATAATACACTGATACATGCAATAATGCAATCGTTGTTTATAAGATACTCAAGATGTAACTATACTCAATCATATTATTTATGCCTTTTTTCCATAGTTTATGACGTTATTAAAAATTATGATCGGTAAACAAGTATCAACAAACATATTTCTCAAATTATATAAGTTCTTTATCTGCGAAAAGCTTACAAAATTACATTTCCATAATTTAGTTGGCTAGAGGCTTCTTTAATAGAAGTAACAAAAATCATTTGATTATTTAGCTAAACTTTTCTATTTCTATCAAACTTTAGGTAGATAGAAAAGATAACTAAATGCATTTACTAAGCTTTCGACTCTAATATAAACTTTCGATATGATGACGTGAGGAAGTCGTGGTGATGCACAAAATGCAGTGACGATGTCTCCTATGTTGTTTTATACTGTAACCACGTCATACATTTGTTCGCGTTTTCACTTGCCTGTGAAGTGACGCGGCGGTGGTGATGCACGAAATGTTGTCTGTGATGGCGTCTCCTATGTTGTTATATAACCACGTCATACATTTGTTCGTGTTTTCACTTGCCTGTGAAGTGACGCGGCCGTGGTGATGCACGAAGTGCTGTGACTTAAGTACTCTTGTTTCTTTACCTACGGTGTTGTGTGACGCTGAACGTCACGTAGACTAGACCTATAACGTGACGGTGACGGTGACGTGGTCGCGGTGATGCACGGGGGGCTGTGGAGGCCTCCACTACGACCTTGTCCGATTTACCGAGAGTCGACGACCGACCAAGGCCTCAACATCCTTCCAACGGCCCCGAACTCGCGATAATAACCTAGTCAAATAAGGTTTTTACCTGGACAGGAGCTAACCTTTTATTGCTACTGATTGTTGTGTTTCCCAATTACCCTTGAGTTAACCTGCAAATCGTCTTATATTTTGGAAACGTGATCATATTTCGGGTGGTTCATTTGGTTAATTTTCACAATACCATTGTGTACAAACAAATATATTCAAGGATCAGGCTTTGAATAAATATTTCTACTTTTCAAGCAAAGAACCACCACTAGTCCTATTTTACAGTACACATTCAGTGCCGCATCACATCGTAAGTCCGTTGATATCCTGTTTTTTTACCAAAATGCTTTTCTCTAGCACACCGCAAATCATGCCCATTTGTTTTTATTTTGTTTGCCATCTCGTTGTTTATAAAAAAATGTTAATTATTGTTTTTTTTTCTTGTTATTTATCTTTATATGTTTACTATGCCTTTAATTGTATGTTCTTTCTAGCACTCTATGTACTCTAGTAGTTGTTTCAAACCATTGTATTTTCTGCAATAATATTGTTGCAATTAACACATTGTTGTAATGGGAGTTATCTATTGGAAATAAATAAATTCGTACAATAGCACGACGAGGGCTAGCTAGGTAAGATTAGTTTAGCTGAGTTTATGATTAAAATTACAAATTTAATATAAAAAGAAAATTTTTTTACACATTAAAAAGAGTGTACAACTCAAACTGTCCAAATATGTCTCTTTGGCAAATTACACATCTTTTTTTGTAAATGTTACCTTTTTTCTCTTTTTCAATATCTTAACTAAGCCTAAACTAACCTTACCTAACAGGTGCAGCACACTGTAAAATAGTAAAATAGCTTTTTAAGAGGCACTCTTCTTAAAAAGACTAAAAATAATGTAAAATATACAGCTTTACAGGCCATCCTTATACTTAAAACATTCCTCTCAAAGGTTAACTTCTTATCGGAAAAATGTTGTAACAATGCTTTGTCCCAGAAACTTTTACTTTTGTCCCAGCATTTTCTATGGCAAGAAAACTATTTTTCCATGTTATATTTACCATGATTTCTTCATGATGTTTTGTTTTTGCAGTTGCAAGGGGTTTTTCAAGCGGACAGTACAGAACAGGCGGGTATACACCTGTGTAGCGGACGGTGTCTGTGAGATCACCAAGGCACAGAGGAATAGGTGTCAATACTGCAGGTTCAAGAAGTGCATAGAGCAAGGCATGGTTCTCCAAGGTGAGGCTGATCTCAAACTAGTATAGCTATATAAAATACCCCTGCCGCAGCAAACCTGCCAACCAAGCGAATTTCCATTTGTCTAAATCTATTTTCAATTAAATCTATTTAAATAACATTAGGTTTAACAAGTACCTAGGTTTGCCGCTAAAAGGAAACTAATAAAGTGTGTTTTATAGTAAAATATCAATAAATCAGTATAACATTTTTTTTCCAAGTTTGATCAAAAAAACTACAACATTTTACAATATTCTCCATAAAAATAACATGGGAATTTTAGTTTTACAACTTTTTGAATTTTCTTCGTTACCAGTTACCGCACAAATACACTTTGATATACTAAATTATTTGTTTTTTAAGCTCTTTAAAAAGGTTTGGAGAGAAATTGGGAAATTTTATCTTTTAAGGGTCAAAAATGAGAAAACCCAATCAACAACCCAACCACTTTCAACAAATTTGTTTAAAAATGTTTAAATACATGTACTTAGCTTTCTTGCAAATTAAGTTTGTCCTTGTTTTCAGCTGTGCGAGAAGATAGAATGCCTGGAGGCCGGAATTCAGGAGCTGTATATAATTTATATAAGGTAAATTCCAGCAATATTTCAGTGGATTAATTAATTCCAACTTTGTCTTTCTCAATACAGTATTAAATTTCACATTATCACTCATCTTTTAAATGTCTTTGGCTTAAACCTCGCTTGCTGGTGTTATATTATTGGTATTAGAGACAAGATTTAATTAAAATATTTAACTTTTTAATTCCTAGGTAAAAGTTGTTTCTTGCTTAAAAAATATCCAATAAATATATGTTTGAACATTTTTAGTGTATCTTTTACAGACATTTATTTCACAACAAAGAAGTGAAATAAAAAATGAAATCATTACTAACTCCAAATTCAATTTAGAAGCATTTTTTGTAAATAGTGGAAAAAGCCGGCTCCAGACATGCGCCATTCGCAAAGCACGAAATATTTTACGTTCGGTCATCTAGTTGTCTTGCTATTCGCTGATTAACGAGTAGACGTCTACAGACATGTGTTGTTTTCCGAGCTACCATTTGTTTCGGGTACAGCAAAAATATTCGTTCACTTTGATGTGTGCAAAAATACCGACAATGAACGAGAAAACACGAGCACAAATGTTTGCTGTTTAATGGCCACGTAGACAAACACCTATCCACACTACTCGTGATTCGGGGAGTCGCTGGTCGGTGCTTGGCGAATGCGAATGGTACATGTCTCAAGCCGCCTTACCAAGTCTTATTTAGCTGGGTAACTTTGTGGGCTGAATAATCAGGCAATTGGTTCATTCCAGAAATTGTTTGGAAGGAAGTAGCTTTTTCCCTTTTGATGGATATAAACTTGACCCAGCTGACTTTTTGTTCATTATGCCTTTAATGAACGGTCCTGGCAAAAGAAACAGCTGTTCTTAGTCAAAAACAAAGCTACACAAGGCATCTCACTTCATATACATCGTCATTCACATTATTTTTATTCACATCATTGTGCCTCTCAATGTAATAATGATTCCTAATGATCAATGATGGTTACTTTTGGTTTGTTCAATACTGGACACAGTTTTTCAATACTATACACAGTTGTTCAATTAATGTGTGTTGCCAAACTATCTTGTATACTTAACTCGAATATTCCTCAACTTGTCCCTTATTATTTGGTTAAATATTCAAATCAAATCATGAAAATTTCATAGTTCAGTTATCATAGTTTAAGAATTAACTATCACAAGGTAAACCATACAAAAATAAAGTACAATAAAAATTATAAAACTGAAAAATATCGGTTCCAACAGAAACAGAAAATTGACACCATTTCTCAAATCTCATTTGGATCTTTTTCATCCGGTCTCAAAGTTAGATGTTCAGACACACAGATACAAATAAATAAAAAGACACCAAAATAATTAAATAGCATTCACTTTTTACAGGTTAAGTACAAAAAGCATAAGAAGAATCCTAGGAACGGACAGATAAAGTCGCCACAGACAAAGATTTCTGCGAGCTCCGAACACGGGATTACACCACAATTGGTCAATGGGACCATTCTAAAGGCTGCACTCACCAACCCTAAAGAGGTAAGAAAGCGGTTTTCAACTTTGAAATTTAGTATATTATACATATGAGGTAGATAACATCATGGAAAGTTCACGACAGAAACATAAAAAGAGTTGTTCTACATGTACCTTAGGCATATATCTGTTCTTTAACATAAAATATTAAGGATTTATTCTCTTCAAACAGTCGTACAACTCATGAAATACCTTATCTGCCAAGTGAACCTCTTTGATGAGACTTAGGTAATGGGTTCTCATGGCTGGCAAGCTTAAGAGAGCAGAGTTACGTAATTGTGAACGGAACGACTGAATAAATCTGAAGTGAAGTGAACGAGGAAGTGAGCCAGCTGATTTGCACTTTCTCCGCAACTTTCACTTTGCAGACCTGTTCTTGGTTGCGTCACAAGTCCCAACCTACAACTCTGCCACTGTCACTAACTGTAACATCCATCGTGGCAAACATGGAAGAAGTTTACTAAGTGAATAGAGATTGAATAATGTTATAGACGAGAAATGGAAATTCGTGTTTGGAATCTTTACCTGTTAAGGAATTTGTCTTCTGTAGATTGCCAACCAGATTATTACTATAACGAAAAGATTTAGTTAAAAATATATTTAGTTACAAAATAATTTTTCTCATCAAGTTTACAAAGATACAAACTATTATATCCAGAATATATTTGTTCAAATTAAGTCTTGAAGCATTTTGCTTAAGAACTATGCAAAAAAATTCTGCTTTTAGGTGAAAAGATAAATAAACGTCATCTTCTTAAAAGATTACATATAAAATTGGAAGATTTTTTAAAAAGTTATGTTGGTTATCCTGCCATATGCTTAACGCAGTTAGTGAGAAGGGAAATAGTTGTAATATTGAGCTGCATACCTGCAAGCAGGTTTCCGAGTAACTAAAGTGGTTAAGTCATTGTAACAGAAATTGGTTTCAAATCGGCTGTACTATCTAGATGGTTATAGTTTTACCTATCATAAACAAATAGTAGCAAGCTGGTCTAGATGTAGAGCGCTTGGCTTTGGTTCCTGAGGTCTTGGATACAAATCCCGCTAAACAACAATGAACTAAATTTAATAATGAATCTACTCTCTTGGCCTAGCCTGAAGTAATGTGTTGTTCGATAGAGATAGCGTCCTAGAATGTGAAGGTGGACAAGCAAAAGAAATACTATTAGCAACAAAGATGTAACTTTATTAGTTCACGACTCATCCTCCACTCATCTTCACCTTCAAACATTGTGTGTCATCTTTGTAATCTATTCCATTGTATGTTCAGGTTGTCCACTTGCGGCAGAGGCTAGACAACACGGTCAGCTCGTCACGGGACCTCATGTTGACGCTGGACGCAGCTCTCGCCATGATACAAGTACTGATAGACTGTGATGACTTCCAGGACATTGCCACTGTCCAGGTACTGTATTAGTCAATCAAAACTACCTCATACTAACTACCTCAATTGTTCATACATTGTGTAGCTGCCTCGATTTTTTTATCAATTCATACTTAATAACAACGACTGATAACATGGAAAATAAAAAAAATAATCAACATGTTAACATTTAATAAACTAATCAAGTTTCTCTGTTGTCAAACCTACTTCAATTTTGTTCAATGAGACCTCAGTTTCCTAACTTTGACCCACCATCACCATGCCTGGAATTTCCTAATGGTGGACACGTCGGTTACCCTTCAGCCTGGGAGGGGACCTCACTTGGGGCCTCAAAATAATATTTTCCTCTTGAAAAATAAATTTTGCAGTAAATTTATTAAGAGTTAGGGGGGAAGATTTTTGAGCCGAGCACGATTGTCAAAACTGTCTGTGAAGATTCCGCTATCGGAAATTACAACTTCACAGCAATTGGGCGGGTGACGACAATCTATTCTCCCTAACCGCAAAACATGTTCACAATTTTTTCCAGATCGAAGAGACATTCATGACTTTGTTGTGACTGTGGGAGACAAAGTGATGTTCCCGCAAACGCAAAAAATGTCGGAAATTTCAATGTGATTGTGAAGATGGTAATCTCTCTGCGATGTTATAAGAATTTCACTATTTCGCTGTGAACCAAGAAAATGTTCACGATTTCTCTGGGATCACAGGATGATGTCAGCAATTTCATGGCATGCTTCTATTTAGCTATGACCGAGAGCGATTTTGTCCAATTTAAATTTTGTTTGGTGTTCAAAATTTTAGAGGTTGTTAAGATTATAGTACACAAATTATATATTTAAAATAAATTCTTTCCAAAGCAAACCAATTTTGGCCCGACCTGACTTTTCACCTGACCTGAAGTAAACAAGTCTGGCCCATAAACCCCTAATAATTTCATTGAAAATTGAAATGTAATTATTTATTAGCCAGTGTCCTAGCCTCCTAGGTCTATTTGCCGATCAAAAACAATAGGTTGAGTTCATCCAGTTAAACCAGTATAGGAACCTCTCTGGTGCAAGCCTCTGGAACCACATGGATTCTAAATAGGGCCCTGACATATAATAAGGAAAACACCTTTAGTGTAACTGTAAAATATGAAGTAAAGCGATACACGTTCACTAATCCAGATATCTGTGTTTGCATAGCAATTAAGATGTTAGGGGTGCCAGAGAGTTCTGCAGTCATGTCATGAGGATCCAAGAAGGCAAATCTATTAGGGAGTATTTGTTATGATTTTACTAATAAAATGTAATAAACAAACCCCCTGTACTATATTAATACTCTTGTGTCTTTTTCAGAACCTGGAGGAGTTATTAGAACACAAGACGGACTTGTCCGACAGACTAATGCAGATAGGCGACTCTATCGTGTACAAGTTGGTCCAGTGGACAAAGAAACTGCCTTTCTATTTGGAGCTGCCTGTAGAAGTGAGCAATATTCTATATTTCCTTCTCTAGAATAGATAAGTCTTAATAGTTGACATCCATATTTATATTATTTTCGGGTACTTCTGGTTTTGACGGTGACCAAAGGTTTGGAAAATGTTCATGTCTAACTATAATAATTTTCATTATCCATGGGTTATGGAGAGTCATCATAAAGATACAAGCAACTGTTAATTTTATGCAACATTTAATTTTAATTGGCCAAGTAATAATAGTTCTGTTAAGTGTTCATGATGATTCTTCACTTTCCAGTGATGTAGACCTGTAGGATTTATAGTTGTGCTATTCAACTTGGAAATGAATTTTAAGGTTTAAAATCAATGGTTCTAAGCAAAAACAACAGGATAAATTGATTCACGGAACTTTAAAGGGTATTGGTGATCCATATGTTATAGTTTAAAAGTAATTAAGTATTTCGAATTAGAAAACTATTTATTACAGTTTTGTAAAGGTTTAAAATATCATATTAATTTACAGGAATAAGTAATCAATACTTACCTGTTTTATATTGGAACTTAAACATTTAAAAGTCCTAATTAACTTCTTTAAAAAATTAGAATCTTAATTCTGTTAAACATAAGATTTACATATTTAATTTGTTTATTCTACTCCATATTGTTATAAAATTAAACTAAAGGAAATTAACATTTTTTTATATTTTCATTAAGGACATTTTTTTAACAATTTAAAGTTTGTTTAAAAAATTATAAACCGATGCGATAAATTCATGCAGATTGTGATTGTGAGCTAAATTTTGATTTTATCATCAATTTTTCCCTTCAACATTCACAAGATAAATAAGTACCTAAACTTTTTATGGTTAACATTATTTTGCACATTCTGGTACATTTTAACACACCATTGTGACAATAATATTTTCGACATTACAAATAATAATTTACATCTACTGTATCTTAGAGTTGTAGATTATAAGTTGCAGTTTCTAGATGAAGCAAACAAACTTAAAACTAAATTGTTAATACTTTTGTTCTGTTGTAAATGATCAATTTCCAACTTGGCTCTTGTTATAGGTAAAGTATTTTAAATGGTGTATTGCATGGTTTTCATTCAGTTTAATTTAGTATGAACCTTAAATTTAACCTTTTGTAGCTTTTTATCATCAAATTACCTTAATAATTATTGTTTCACACTCATTTAATTTGCTTTAAATTATTTTTCATCTACCTTTTAGTTTTTACAGCACAGAAGGCCTTTAATAGAGTTTTATCACAAAAGCTTGCTTTTTATGTTATTCTAGCTTTTGATTTGCCATTTAAAGCAAAATATATTTTTAGCGAATCACTCAATTATCATTGCATTTCATTCTGCCTTTGTTTCTATACAAAACGATTAATGAATTAGCAACAAACTAACAAATTAATGACTTTCTTTATTTATTCGACAATACCAAGTAAATTTTTGTTATATGTCTATGCAATATAAAAAACACAACAAATTATATCATAATTATTGGTAATCAAGATCTAATTGATTTATTAGATAAAAATATCACTGTTAAAAAAATACAGTAGTGTAAATACAATATTTTAAGGGGAAATGCTCTTCAACTGTGGATGGAATTCCTCGTTTGAATATTCATCCTCTAAAAACAAAAATTTTATTACTAAAGGCATTTACAATCATGTGTAGTACCATAGACAAAAAAATTAAATATATATAGCATATGTTCTGGCGACCACCGCTAGGATTGCCGTGTAGTTTCGGCGCACACCTCTGCAGCGTCAAGCGCTAGCGAGCGTTGCCATGACAAGTTGGTAGTTAGAGCCAGGGTTGCCAACTTCTGGAGAATTCCCCAAAATCCGGGGAGTAGGAGTTTGTTCCGTTATTTTTCTGTTTTAAAAAATTCCGGGGATTTTTAAAAAAAATAGCTTTTTTGTCAAAGTTACAGGATTTTAGAATGTTGTACTTTACCCATATTGAAAAGTGGGTGTGATACGTTAGTAGCATTTCGTTTGCAAGGGTGGTAGTGCTGGTAGTAGACGGTGAATCGACCACGGCAGCGAATCGATGAACACTGAGCACGCTGCTCTAGCAGCAAATTGTGAAACCTTCCTTTGACATTCTATATTTATTCTATTTGTCTATGGTAGTACATTTCTTTTCTTTTCTTGTAATATTAGTATTTATCTAGTTTGTATTATACTCCTTGTTTTTATAATAATTTAGTATAACATTTTCTAAAGTTTTTGTTTAATTTTGTCATGAAATTAGGTACAATAGAGATCTGTTGCAAATGGTTGTAAATTAACTTAAATATAATTAAGTATTTTATAACGGTTTTTGAACATATGTCTAACTAATCCGACAAACAATTTCAACTGCATTGTGCATCTAAATAAATATCTCACTCATGCATTCATTGCAAGTTCACAAGATCACTTTTTTTAATACAACTAACTCTTATGTATGTTATTTTCCCTTATATTACCTTTATGTGCATTACCTTTCCCTATAATGTGCTTTTACCTTTTGTGTCTTATCGTTGCCTTTATGTGCTGTTACTATTCCATTTTCCATAATATGACTCTTATATGCCTTACTCTTTTGTAATATGACTTTTATGTGCATTACCACTATCTAACATGACTCTAATATGCCTTCTCATTCCCTAATATTACTGATGTGCCTTATTGTTTTCTAACATGAATTTTATGTCTGTTACCGCTCCCTAACATTTATGTATTTTACCATTCCTAATATGACTCTTTATGTGCCTTACCATGCCCTAATATGACTCTTGTGTGCGTTGCCGTTCTCTAACATGATTTTTATGTGCAGGTACACACAAAGCTGCTGACACACAAGTGGCATGAACTGCTTGTGTTGACGACGTCAGCTTACCAAGCCATCCACGGACCTCACAAGCAAAACCCCTCCTCCCCCGACCCCTCCTTTCTGGACTTCTCCCAAGAGGTAAGACTTAGAGTTACAAGACGTTATCATGAAGATAGCGTTGTTAGACAGAATCCTTGTATTTAACAATAATTTTTCAGTGTGGTCATGCGCTATACTCTATCATTAAGCTATGTCAGCTATATCATTATTTTTTGACCAACGATGTAAGCTAAGACATTTTTGCAGATTTGTTTTGTCAGTTAAAGTTCGTTATTAAAACAGTCTGAAACTTTATCCACTGATCCTGATGTTGGTAGTTCTATTTTTGGTTGTCAAGACGGTAGGGTTTACTTTTTGACTTTGATACGTTTACCTATTTTACTCTTAGATTAGGAGAAAATATGTTTTTGAAAGATTGAGTTTGATCATCTATATGAGTTACCTACCACATTGTTCATTATCCTAGGTCCATTTATTTCAATTCTAAATCCTGTAGAAACTTATGTGCCTTTGGCCTGACATAATTCTTAAATAAATGTTTCGCAGGTGTCAAAAAACCTGTCGATGCTCCAAACGTGCCTGACGTCCATGATGGGCCGCACCATCACGCTGGAGCAGCTGCGGCAAGACGTCGGACACATGGTGGAGAAGATCACACACGTCACACTCATCTTCAGGAGGATCAAGTTAAGAATCGAGGAGTACGTGCTGCTCAAAGTCATCATTATGCTGAATCCAGGTAATTTTACATTATAAAGTTAAGAACTAGGGTTTTGCTGTGTACAGATACGTGCAGGGGAATCATTATAATTGTGTAATGTGGTGTCTATAAAAATCAAAAATTCTACTCTATAGGTTTTAGAACATCGGAAATGTATTAGGAACCCAACTTGTTCACACTTCTTCTTCTTGTTGCTATCAAAACCATTTTGGGCGTCACCTCTTTAATATCTGTGTTGAGTGTGCATTTGTCTCAATCCCAAATGTTTATTATTTTCTCACTACTTGTCTGTGTCACTTTTGCAGTCAATCAGTTTTTAAATATTCTCATAATATTTTTGTGTGAAGCATACATTTCAATGAAACGCAAACGTTTTATATGTTCTCATTACTTTTGGCTGTTCTTATAAATGTTATTACTTCATTTGTCTGACAGTCGACCTTTCATAGCACAATAAATCCTCAAGATTTTGCCAATGTCCTTTAAAAGAGATTTGAGTCTCTTCACTGACTTATGAGAGTTCCTTGCGGCCTTGGCAACAAAAAAAGTTACTTTAATTTTGTTAAATCAACTTCAAATGTAAATAGCGTAAACATACGTGATTATCCAGAGATGAGATACAATCAAGGATTTGATAATGGTAATGTTTGGTAAATAGTTTGTTTGGTGGTAAAAAAAACCTTAAACAACATTTATTTCATTGACACTATTTTAATGTTTTGGCTGCCTATTAACCTTTGCAATGATCTGTAAAATATTCAAACTAACGGTTACATCGATGCATTAATGATTTTATCATATGTTTTTTAAACGTAACTTGGTTTAATCCCGATTCCACTCATGTTTTTTTTTTTACTAATTCTCAACAATTATGGTTCCAGCCACAAGAGGGGGAGCCAACGAGTTAGAGACTATACAGGAGAGGTACATGAACTGCCTCAAGACCTATGTGGAGTATATGGCTCCGAGTCAACCGAGTCGGTTCCACGAGCTACTCCTGTGTTTACCTGAGGTACGCATGAATTACGCTTTTAAATTTAGACATTATAGTGAAATTTGAAGCCTGTTTTGATGAAAGTTTCATGGCTGGTAACATTTGAATGAGTTGATGTTACTAAATGTTTTTTTTTTCTTATTTAGAGTAAATTTTGTAGTATGATTTTTGCTGGTGATAATACCGGAGGAAAACCAACAGATTATTAATAGATTGTTAATGTGGTTAAATATTTTTAAGGGTTATAAAATAACAAGAAATAAATAGTAACATAAAAGTGCACTCTATTATTGGACAGAAGCATAGTAAAAGATTTTCTTCAATTCATCTATAAAGATGATTAAAAAAATATTAAAGACTGTGATTAAGTAACCTTAAAATGAGGTATTTGTGAGTATGATTAATCAACTTTTAAAATATATATTTGAAAAGACACACCAACAAAAACTTACCTCAACTGAAAGAAAACTGGTGATACTGACTTGAATCCAATGCCAGAAAAATTGTTTGAACTTTTTGCTTGAAAACAGCTGTCCTTGATCATTGGGATTTTAATAAATGGATGAAGAACCATCTGATCTTAGTGAGTAAAAAACTATTAACTTATCCATTCATTCATGTTGACCAACAAATACACATCTTAATGTGTCTGTTTTGTACGAATCTAAACTGCATTTCAATTACTGATACACTTGTTAGGCTCTATTTTATAAAGCTAACGGCAGATTCAGTTTTCTAAGAATGGTTCTTACGTTTGTTCTCAGGTTCAGACGGCTGCGTCGCTCCTCCTCGAGAGCAAGATGTTTTACGTTCCGTTCCTGCTTAACTCTGCCATCCAGAGATAGTAGTAACAGGCACCCCAACACCTCATTGCAGTTACCATTTGTTTTTTCCTAGTTAAGTTAAACTTCCTAATTTGTCGAAGGAAAACTCGTTACGGAAGGACTCCGTCACCGACGGCCGTTACGGCTGCGAGCACCGAGAACTAGTTTAGCCTGTACAGAAGGAACGGATAGTTTTTGCATGAACCACGCACGAATAAGGCTTCAAGACTGACTTTTTTAACGTAAATTCTAATTCCATTAGATCTTGAATACGAAGATCTCGCCTTGGGAGCATCAACGCACAGATCAAGACGTAGCTCGGTCGACTGGATATTTTTAAACTTAGCCGCCGTTTGTTTTGTGTTATTTGTAACGGTTTTATGTGATTTTTATACAAGTCAATTCCTAATGTATGTGTTACCATTTTAAACACCATTAGTCCATCGTCATTGTTTCATCATTAGTTTCATCGTAAATTTCAGTAGAACCGTGATGCCATGTCGGTCATAGTCTTAACCAAGTTACCAATGGGCTCGTCCCATGTTCCTGTACTCACTGTACATATAACCAGAAGGTAGCGGGCTCCTCTTCATGGCCTCTTTACTTTTCACCAGAAATGAATGCACACAAATCAGGGTCACTTCAATAACTGCCTTTGTTGTTTTAGGTCTTATAGTTACCAATGTTGACATTATTTGTTATGTTTGTTAAATTGAATTTCCCTCTAATACTAAGTATTACCTTCTGTTGTTATTGTAGTCTTAAAGACGATTTGCTCTGTGCTCTTAAAGTAAAAATTCAATCATCGCTTCTGAACACATTTTAGGATTTGCATTATTTGTACTAAAAATCAACCTAAAAGTGTGTTTTCATTGTTTTGCATGGAAAGAATTCATTTATCTGGTGTAAAAAATGTATCCTTAATTAATAAGAAACTCACCAAGAATGTTTACCTATTTATTTATTTCTGAGATAAAAATGTCATGCTTGCCATTTGCTTTCTGTATGTGTATTTTAAGTATTCGTTTTTATTTTAGGCCTAACTATTCCCAGACCATTTCTCAGATTTAATATTTTTTGTCTTATACCTATTGCATTTAAAGAATACAATGTGTGTGTTTTTTTATTAAAAAACCACTTATTATTAGTTACACTACACTTAAAATATATGTCTTTCAATAAGGTACTTTTAATGAGCAATTTTAGGAAAATTATAAGTTATAAATTGATTGTTGTGGTTACTATCTTTTTTTTATATTTTGAAGATCTGAAAACTTTAAGAGCACAGATCCCGAGCTTAGAAAATTACCATTAAAGAGGATTTAACTGCCTGTTTTTAATTCATCAAGCAAGTCAATTATTTTTCAAATTCTCTGACAAAATAATGTATTGAAACACTGCAGGTTATTGAATCCTTTGATTTTGGCTGATTTATTGTAAATATGATGATTGTATGATGATCTTCTATATCATGTTTTTTATAATATATATTGTATGTATATCTCTTTATGTCAGTATTGTAAAATAACTTAAAACTTGTAAGTAAATTGTAGTAAAAATCATTTTAGCTTTTTGAACGCTATTGATACTAAGTGTACAGTAAAGAATTGGTAATAAAATTACTTTCTTTAAGAATGTTATCGAATTTGTTATTTGATTGTTAAACATAGTTTCCAAAACTACTTATTTAAAACATTTATTTAAATTTGTTTTAGATTATTTATGGTTTGTTAATGGCTTAGTACATTAGATATAAAGATGATTGAATTAGATTTCAGAGTTATTCGTTTTTAATTAAATATACCCTAAGTTTTTAAATGGGCAAATTAAATAGATACTTTATGTAAGTGTACAAATAGTACCTTAAACAATTTTTATGATTCTACTGATTAATTTAAATACAGGTGGCCTGTTTTCAATTTTCACTTTGTTCCCTAACCAGTAAAATTAGTTTTCTCTTTCATTTCTTTTTTTTATGTTTAAGAAGCCATTATTTGTGTTTGCAATAAAACATTAAACTACATGTTTTCTCTGAAAAAATATCTTATATAAAATAAATCTATGAAAAAGCGCAATGAAATTCCAATTAATTTTGACTAATATGATGATATTCTAATGTACTTTGCCATATTGAAAATTGTTATTTTGAAGTAATTAGTGAAAACAAGTAAAATTACTGTGCTGTGCTCACACGATGTGTAACGCAAATGCTTGTGGTCAAGTTAGATTTAGCGTAACAACAGATTCACTGCCAGAAGATCTCTAGGTTATATTAAGTGCCTAATAACCACGATTTCATTTACCCAGCTGGATTCCTTAGTCGTTCAGTCGTTCAGTATTGTGTATCGATGTTATTTTATAACTATTTTAAATTAAATAATGTACGCCTGTCTTGCAAAAAAGTTCCAAATTGTCTCAGGTAATTATTTTACCCGGTTGTGAAAGAGGAATGCTTTATATCTCGCTTTTAGTGATAAAATATTTTTTTATCTCGGTTGTTTTCATTAACACAGCATTTAAATTGGTTATAGATGTTGTAAATACACGAAACATAGTGTTTTATAGACTCGTTTTCAATAATTTTTACCTATAGATATTTTGTGGAAATGCATTTTATACTCGAAATGGAAATTGCATGGAAATAACCAAGTCGACTAAGGCTGAACTATTTTCATAAGTAAAAGACGTTTGCCCCTCCTAGCTCTGCATTTATTTGCTAATTTGTATTAAATTTAGACGAGGACAGTAGATACAATTTTTTTATCACAAATAAGCACGGTTTTATGAAAATCATTTTCCCCAACGGCATTGAAGAAATGTGGTGCTAAAGAACTGAACGTAAAACTTAGTCTTAACCAAAAGTCTGACTGACTCTAAACATAGAGCGAAAGGAACTCTGTGTCTTAATCATTGTATTAGTGTCAAAAGTACGTTTACTGTTTGAGATTTTTTTAAACATATGATGCCTTGTGTTGTTCACTTGAAAGTATAGCATTATTATTACGATTTGTTGTTGTCTTTGTGTAAATATATGTGTCACAATAGTAAACTGGTCAAATCATTTCCTTCCTACTCTTTTGAAAGGGTTGGTACTACTTCAGCTGAGAACAATTATTTATTGGTACATCCGGTGAAGTTCCAGAAATCAGAAATTGGCCCAGGTTTCTTGGTGGCCAGACTTATGACACAAACTGTACCTTGGTCGTCTCTTTGTTTTTCCTGGTGAAACCCATTCTAAAACCGAAGTTAAGAACAGGTCCCTCAATCAAATTTACATAGCTAATCAACAACTTTTTTGCACTTATATATGAGGTTTGTTCCAATAAAAGTCTTCAACAAACACGCATATGATAAAAAAACTTATGATAAAAAAAGTCTCATCAAAGCCAATAAGCTAGTTTTAATCTTGACACCAGTGCTGTGACTATTCCAGCCACTTCCACCAATATCGTCACAATAAACAACACTGATGTAAGGGATAATCAACACTCTGGTCATTAAATATGAACAGTGTGTTCAGTATGGCCTACAAACTCTTTAACACGTTGGGTGCTGATGACAGGAATTCCCGCAATTGCTTAACATTGAAATAAATGCAACTTTTATGTTCAAACATGTACAGCAGCACAAATAGTGTTAAATTTACAATTCTTACATTTAAACAATTGCTTGTTAAATAATCCTTCAATAGGCAATGGATATCAATTAGGGGTGACCTCCTACCACAGAACACTAGAATGGTTGAGAATGAAGTAAAAGAACAAAGCGCTGGTGTCAGATTTGAACTAGCAAGATTGGCTGCGATATGAGCTCAATAAAGACCTTACTATAGATAACTCTTGTCATATGTCTCTCTCTATTAACATATATTCCTCCTAATCAATCACACTAACCTTCTCTTTCTTTCTTTTTTTTCTCTCAACTACTCATAGCCACTTCTATTTCTGCAGCTATCAGATTGTCCTGTTATTTCAAGTCCCATATGCTACATACAGTCCTCTCTTTACCGTAGACTTATTATACTGTTTTACTTTTTACCCTCCCTTAAAACTTATATTTAGTGAATGAAAATAACATAATAATCCTCAGATGTTCGGTGAAGTATAGAGAGACGGTACTATGAAAGAATAAATCAACAGTAGTGTTCTGGCTTGTGTTCGTCTTCTTGCTAAATCTTGTTTATTTTGACATAAAAGAGTTTTACTATCGCAAATATCCCCCAATGATTAGGAAACGCAAAATCAAGAGTGGGGAAGAGTAGTAATGATTTATTAAAAAATAAATCTACTTATATAACTCTTAATGTCAACAATTCACGCTATTTTCTTGATTGGCTAGCATATTAAACTTATTAAAATGTCAGGGTCTTACAAAACAACAGTAATAAATTATTTGTAAACAGATGTTTATGACATTGTTAACAAATATTAATAAAGTAATTAAATGCTTTTAAACTTAATACAGTACATTTGTCAAATGGTTTCATAAGTTACAAAACTAGTTCTTAATGCCTTAATGCTTTAGGTAGATTAGGCAGTACTTTGGCATCAACCCCTATCATATGACAAAGCATGTAATATATACGATATACCTATATTTAGTACACAGCCAATTTTTCACATAAGCCTAAATTCAAAATGCATGCTTAATCCGACTAATCAAACAACTAATTATTATGGCATACGGTATTGTCAATTGTAAATTAATTGCACATTCAAAACTAAAATTTGAAAAGTAATTATAAAGTTGTAACTATTAAGAACATAAATAACATGAATAAAAAAATTTAAAAATTAAGTTAAAGATTATAACAAAAATGAATATACAATATTACAAATTAGGTTTATAAGTGGTATAAATATTATTTCAAAATTTATAATAATTTTACTTCAGTTATTGACAGATTGAAATTGCCAATTTTAATATTTTCAAGAACCAAATCCAGATAAAAACTTTTTAACTTTTTTTAATTTATACAAGAATGATTAAGTAAATAAATAACAAAGGTATTATTCCAGAAAGAAAACCCAGCAGACATACTGGTGTTTTTGTATGATTTTATGATATCATTGACACCATTTTCATTGATGGGCAGTGAACTTCATGACTGAAGTAGAAACTCGAGTTTGAAAAACACAACCTAAGTATTTATATATAAAACACAGTACTTTGCAGCAACATATACAAGTATTGTCCAATTAAAAGAGAAATACAGAAAGAAAATTAGGCTGTAACAAAGGTAAAATATTCTGTGTCAAAATATTGGCACAGTGGTATATGTAAAAAAATTCAAATAGGATTCCGAAACTAAACGTATAATGTTAAACATTCCCTAATATTAGTTAGGATATCATAAATTACTATCATGATAAAATTTAAGTCACAGCAAATTAACTTTAGATTTGAATCGGCTATTCACCCATTAGTGGTTTTTATTGTAAAGGTAACTGAGCTAGAATTGATTCACTATTGTGACTCCTGACTGATGTCCACTGTCTGGACCCTGCTACTATCCGTCGGTAAAAGTTCCAGTTTCTCCGGCTCTGCATCCGGCATAATAATACACATGAAACTCTTCCCTGTCGCCGAGTCTTTGGGGTAGATAGTGACGGGGGTGAAGCGTTCCGAGGATCCCTCGACGTACGCACACAGACGCTGGTACACCTCCGGGAACTGTTTGCGGAGACTGACCCCTCGTTGTCGTAGGTGGCGTTGGATGTTGGTGAAGCTGATCTGTCTTGCTCGTTGACTTCCTTGACTGACTCCGGGTAAAGACGTTAGTATCAGAGTCTCAGGGTCGTCGCTGTCTCGTGTAATGTTAGCCGCAGGTTGTTTCGGAGGAATCAACGGTTTACTCAGTCTCAGTTTCGCACATCGCGACACCAATTGTCGTTCCCACTTAACAGCTCCACTTGTCGGAACTTCGCTAACCACACAAACAGCGACGTACAGAACCAACCTTGTATCCGGATTGTATGACTTACATAACCTTAACAGTTCCTTGTACAGTTCTGGGCCCATCTCGTTCGGCAACAGATCGGCCCATCGGATATAAGTCGGTTCGCCCATTTCAGTTAACCCGCTAGTGACAAATTTCTCCGCAAGTTCTGGACTCGAAAAGAAACTCTTAACCGCACCTCGACCACGAGCTAGGAAGCCTCTTCGAGCGAGTAAGGAAATGTGGTGGAGCGTTTCTGAGTCTTCTTTTACGGCAGACAACACTCTACGGCACAAAGCGCCCACTCGCGAGTGGAGGCAAGTCTTTCGGTGTTTCTCCCAGTGAGCGCGGCGACACTCGCGCGAGCAGTAGGCGTGAGCGCAGTTGTGGCAGGTTTTGAATGTTCTCCTGGCGTCTGAAACGTTTGAAGTCTTTCCACACTTTGAGTAGCGACAGCGAACCAGCCCGTTGCCCTCTACCTCGAAGGAGACTCGACGTGCGCGGGGAGCCAAGGCCAGCTTGGGGTCGTAGCCTTCGCTACGGCGGCGCCCCAGCTCTCCCTCCCCTTCGCTGCTAGCTGACTCTGCTAACAACACAACAGATTCTCAGCTTTGCGTTCATTGAAGACAATGGTAAATATAATGAGTTACTTGTTAAAAAAACATATTTATTTCCCTTTAGTAACTTCTTGATATCAACATTCTCTGAACCATATGGTTTAGTAAGCATTAACTTCACCACAAACATTTGGAGAATTGAATCATCTTGACCTTATTAAAATCATGTTTACACAAGACCAGAGTTAATGGCGAGTCCTTACGAATGTAGGTTGCAGTCAGGTTACCTCAGGTAACTTGAAATACACTAAACTGAGGCTGGTAACCTGCCTTCTAATGGTCTTCTCTAAACACGGCCTTATAACTCAAACATTCAAACTTAGCCTACAACTTTAATAACACAGAAAACTCTTTTTATATTGTCAAAGTTTTATAAGAAGTAAGGCTTCCACATTCACGTACAAACTAGGTTGTCTGGGTACAAACGTGTTACAGACGGGAACTTTAAACTTAAGTGGTGACGTTTTGGTTTCGCTGGAGACAGCCATCCTCAAAGCAGTTAACAAAAAATCTGTAAATAACTAGCAAAAAGTTTCTGTCTGTGACACATTCATACTCAAAAGACCTAGGTTGTAATAAAGTATTCTCTTACAAAATAGTCCTCCAAAAGCATTGTGAATCAAAAAAAATTTACCCTTAAAGCAATCTTCATCAGAAAATTATTATAATCTGTTCACAAAATTGTATCCGGTTTATTGGAAGAAGTCTATCCTCTCCAACTAAAAATGATATCTCAACAGCTGATGTTAACCAAAATATAAATCAACTGTGCCACATATATTGAGTAAAAAATGTGGTGGGGGAACTTCAACTCGAACCGCCAAAATTTTGTGAACGGAGTATAGTATGCAGAATTTCTAACATAACAGCTGAGCAAAAGTTTTTCCAATTTTAACTTTTTAAAAATTCATATACATTTTTTATATTTTGTATTTTTTAGTTCTAGTTCTCATTGTTAGTAAAGAGTGTAGTACTGTAAATAGTTTTGTTCTGTTCAAATGACAAGTCAGTTGAATGTCATCATTAATATCAACCACTCAAATTCTCTGTTGTAATTTAGGTTTCTTAAAATATTAATCTTTTACGAGGAACAGCCAAATACGGTTGTTCTTGTAAATTAACATGTCCATATAAATTTCTCTCACTTAAGGTGAGATTATTATACTAATACTCATCTCAATATACCTTATACCAGTAAAAGTCCATCAAATTACCCATAAAACTCACAAATTGTTTAGAAAAATTCAAAGATGAGAACTCAAACTTAAAGATCCTTGGTCTATGCAAGTTTTTGGGATGAAATGAAAATATATTACTTAAGAAGTACAACGTACAGTTACTTATGAAACAATCAACATGTCATGACAATATGATTTTTTATTTATAATTTTATAGTGAAGTTAATTTAATGTACCTAGTTTTCTCAACATATTTCTTTGAAAATTGTACTTATGGTACCGGATACAACCACATTAAACAGAATCTGAAATATTTCTGAACGAATAACAAAAAATCACAACAAAATCTAGAAAGCTTGTAAAAACATCGATCACCTTTAACAAATAGAATCTAAACACAGAAATTGGTGACATTTTACAAAGAAATCCATCTTCCACAGTAAACGTATACTGTATTTTCTGTTAACTTTTGAAAATTCCCTCTACACAATAATCTAGTACTATCTAATAAGCTGATTTAATGGAAAACTATGGCAAACAAAACAGACTAAAACATACAAACAAAAGTGATCTATATCTTGCAGCGGTGCCATGACCAAATTATTGAAAAGTGCATTGAAAATGTCACCATTGGAAACTTACAGAGTCGTCCTACCTTGGTGGAGATCGCCACAGGATCTGCGTTGTTTGGGTTGGGAAGGAAGTGGGAGAGAAGGAGAAGAAGGTGAAGGGGAACGGGAGGTCGGAGGAAGGCCTAGGAGTGAGTCCAGGACGTCCTCCATTGTTGTCGACGTAGGACTGGGTCTTGACCGGCCGCCGTCTCTCGGCCCTACATACATGTGGCACAGTCTAAACTATGGCTACACACTCCGTTCTCAGTTTATTTCAAAATCCATTCTTAGAGATTTTATTTCAAAATTTACCCTCATTTTACTCAATGAGAGAAGTCTTTTGTCTACGAGGGTCGTCTGTAAGGTCTTGAATGCGCTCCAGTCAAACCAATCAAGCTAGATAATCTGAGACCGACATCTTCTTCTTTACTGCGTCCACTATTCTAGTCAATTTCCCTCCTCCAGGATGATTAATCTCGTCATAGAAGCCGAAAACAATGTGGAAAGATTGACGCTTCTATTAAGTATGAATCGTGTTCTATGATAGGTTTCTGTAGGAAATGGAACAGTGTCAGTTGATTACTATTGCCAGTTGACTGCATACAGAAAAGTGACTACATGTAGAAAATGTGCATATAAGGGGCTTAGGAAGTTGGGAGTTCGTACAAAGCCATATAAATTTTGCACGACAGGTTAGGCAGTGAGTATTCATCAGTTTCCACTCTCCACCTCTTAAGCACATTTTCTACGTCCAAACACTTAAATACATTCTCGTCTATTAACTTGCAATGGACTTCAGCGGTTGACTACTGAGACCACAGAAATCTTATACGGTTTATACTTTGGCAGAAGTGTCAGCTTTTTTACGTTTTCAAATACTATGACGAGACTAACCTTCGCACACGGGGTGGAAACTGGCTAGAACAGTAGTTGATGAAGTAAAGAACACAATGTTAGTCCCAGATTTAGACTAGCTTGGTTGAGACGTTAATTTACAGACAGCCCTCGTAAATTACTGGGTTGAGGGAGTGTTTTGTCATAAGGATATGTTTACTTTATTTTAGGTTAAGTTGAGGCAAAGCTACCTGACCAAAGGGAAGAACAGGACTATAACTCGCCATGATGGTGTTTTACATACCTACATGTCTTTTCTTCGGTTTGAATCCAAAATAAAAGTTTGAGAGTAAATTGGTAAAAATCCAAACATAATAATAATAATCAATACAAATTAACAAAACAAATATAGGAGCCTATCACATTTTATACAAAAAATTCTTATATGTATATTGTTTCAAAATGCAATTACAACCACTCAGCATGAAACTTGTTTCAAAATTCTATACAAGGAAATAGTTGTTTATAATGGGTTCAAGTAACAATTCTAAGAATCAAAAAATAAAAATTTCATTGCTGGTTTGAAAAAAAAAAACAGGATGAATCAACAAAGTGAGAACGAATTCTGTAACTGAAGTACCAATTTATCACAAATTTACTACCAAGTTGATGGTTGGTAATATTAGTAAGCCGTCCACAGCAAAACCATCTATGTCATGGTTAGTGTTTTAAGCAATCGTTTTCACTAGGTTTAAACTCACCATATTGTTCAACACCATCAGACTCAATCTGAGCCCCAAAGAAATCTTAGATATCCTAAAATCATAATAAAATAAAAACACTAACTATAAATATTTTCTAAATGAGAAAAAAATAAAAATAAGATCTCAACCCTTATGTATAACCTTTGACTATTAATCCAATGGTCAATGGTATAACATAAATGTGAACAACATCTATTTTTTGTAATGTTAAACTGTTCCTTGGTTTGATTAACAAAATTAATAAAAAGAAAAGTTGGTAAAACTACTTTATGTGTAAACCGCCAAATATTCTATTGCACCATTCCCCAATATGAATGTTACATTATTTTAATTTAATTTGTTTAACTATTATTCATATTAATCAAAGGCTAATAAGAATTATTTTACATGGTAGGTGACATGTAGCATACAAGGTGATATTAAGTCTGGAACCACTTTATACCATCAGACAAATCACCAAAGTTCATATCTAATTGTTGGTGAAACAATCTAATCACTGATTGGACGATCCCTTTTAGGGAAATTCCAAAAAAAATATCTTTGCAACATCCTATGTTGAGTTATACTATACACTGGATTAAACATGCAGTACTCCCCAATAAATTTTCCATTTTTATGGGTCAAATGAGGATAATTTTAATAGTCTTGCCCACATGGGTGTTTATTTATTTACTCTGTTGCTTGTTGTTAAAAAAATTGATACTACAATATTCTGACATGAAAACAAGCTTCAAATTGTACAGTAAGATGAGTTCACTTCCACTACTCAAAGCTAGTGATTCTAGAGTGTTTGAATTTTCAAAGAAATATCTCCACAAATGTTCGAACTTTGGTTTTTTTTTCCGCTGTTGTCTTTCAAACGCTAAAAAGAGGTTCCAGAGTTAATTTTTATCCTGTACACAGAAATGGACACAAACGTTCGTAAAATATCTTACAACTTCAATTTTTAAACTCAAAACGTATTTATATCTTACAACTTCAATTATTGACAACTAAACCAGGGATTTTATTATGAGTAATGTAGCTATTCAAACATCTGTACTTTTTAATAAGTACGTACATGCCACTCACCATTATGATATTTTTTTAAGCTGAAAAATTACCGTTACACAATCAGATATATCTAATAATTTGATAGAATTAGGAAACCTCTCAAGAAGGTATACTTTTAAGACTGGTAATTCTAAATGTTTGCACTATTACCTTAAAATAAATAATATCCTAGCTGTATAATGGATATTTACAAAAAATACAAAATATAGGGAATGTAAGCTTAAGCTTAGTTTACCACAAAAGCTGAAAGCTGCAGCCAACATGCGAAGCTTAAAACAAAACTACATGAAAAGCATATACTGTAAGGTGAAACGTACAATTTATAAGTAGGAGAATATTTTGTCACAACAAACCTGCATTTTTTCCATACAGATTATCTACCCTGATTGAAAAATTTCAGAACCTTTTTCTTTTGCTTCAAAGCATGGCACAAATGGTTATTAAGTTGTATTCAGACATATTCTTTATCCAGTCATTGTAAGGATATGTAGCCCAAGTGAGCTTGTTTGTGGGTAGGCTAGTTTAGATTTCTTAAATATTTTATGTTTTTTTAGAGGGGTGGGGCATAATCAAACTTTGAGCTTTCCTCCCCAAATTTCAAAACAAAATTGTTTATTTTTAGCTTATAGTAAAAATATCAACATTTCTTGATAGGTAACAATATAGGTCCAAAAAGGGAAACAAAGAAAGAATCTTTATACATTTTTGAATACAGGACAATTTTGTTCTCAACAATTAATTTTTTAAAGTTAAAAGAGTCAAAACAGATAGTTGAGATGCAATATAACTCAATAACATTCTGAACTTGAAAGGTGGGTCCAAATTGCTTAACCAAGCATTGTTGTACATAATATGCACAGAATTGTGTTCAAATTTACAGGCATGCTAACGTGTCATGCTTGGTTAGAATTACAAAACTTAAATTACTTGTAAGCAGACAGCATAGTACTTTACTAAAAAGAAGCAAACAATAAATTTGCCATATAATTTGAATGAGTATACAAAACGAACCTGTCTAAGTAAAAAAATAACCAACAATTCTTTTAAAATCTTACAGTTAATTTGTCTAGAAAAATGTCTTTAATTTATGGATAAAACAGCAAGCTTGGTAATGTACAAAAAGAAAATCAGTTGAATAGAAAGCAGATTGTTCCCATTGCAAGGTATTACACCTTAGACAATGCCAAACAATTTAATCTTTTAAAATAAAATTTAAATACTTTTTTCTTTTATAAACTTTTAACTTACTTCCAACAACTGTTTACAAGTCCTTCCAAAAGAAGGACACCAACAATTAATTGATTGTATGTGATGATTTTTATACATGTACTGTATATACTTTTTTTACTTCGCCCACTACTAAACTTTTTGCCCTTGAGGAAAGGCATCTGAGTAAATGACCGGTAGCGACAAACATAGTTTAAAATCTAGTGTTTAGAGTGAAATAAACAGATTCAATCCCCAAAATAAAATAAAAATTGAGGGGTTGGAAAGCTTTCAAACAGCTAGTAAACGTAGAATAACGAGTCTATATAAAACACTGATCAAATATATTGTTTCCGATCAAATATTTTACTTTTCTTTCCATGCAGGACTAAATCAATAAATCCCAATACTACTGAATGATTGTTAGATTACGATATTCATTTTTCAATGAATTTACAGCTGTAAAAGAAAATATTGTAGGGGACATCATGCTTTTTATACTAGACTCTTACCTTATCTAGACGTTTGTCTTATTTCACCTAATAACTAAAAAAACAAATCGTTTAATAATTTTTGATAACATTTTACAATCCAATACAATAAAGGTTTAAAACATCCCTTTTTCATCTGTCCTGCTTTATCAATTTTTACGATTGAGGTGTAATTTTAAAGCTTATAAGCTAGCGGAGGTACGAATGGTAGTTGAAAAAGTAGTTTCTAGTTAAAAAATCATTAAATTAGTAGATCTATTCACCTAATAACTGTATCAAACAAACATATTAATTAAAAAGTAAATAAATGCATATTGTATTATTTCGTTTAGAATCAGAAACAAGTTTCACGGACAGGTCCCCTCGTAAGAATTATTTTACTAATTCATGAATGATCAAACTGTGACATTATTATTTTAGAAATTTAGTGACATTTATACAGATGATGATATGAGCATTTATCTAGTAAAAATATCCTATCAATTAATTCAACATCAACTTAACTTGCATATGTTTACTTATATTTTACATCTTGCTTAGAATAACTTGATATCTTGGAAAATTAAAGACTATTTCTTTCACGGTATTTACGACTGGAAAACAGCTTTTTTTAGAACAAAGCAGAATTGTTTTAAAAATGTATTACAGTGGAACCTCGATAAGGAGACACTCCATAACAAGTCACCCTTGATAACAAGTGTAGTTTTCAAATACCCTTGAATTTATTTTACCCTTTATCACATGTTATTGCCAACCTCAATAAGAAGTCAACCTTGATAACAAGTCTTATTTAATAATTCCCATGAAAGTCTTGTTATCGAGGTTCTACTGTACAAATAGAAGTTTCAAGATGTTTCGGGTGTGGGAATCTTATCATGTCTTGAGATAGGAAAGGGAATAGGACCTAAGACTTGAAAATAATACATAAACTGTATAAAAAATAGCTGAAAAGTGAAAGTTTATAGCAGTTCAATGTGCTCGGGCAAAATATTAAAAAATGAATAAAGTCAAATAGTTTGTTTGGTTGATATTTTAATTTTCATCGTATTGTGCTTGTTTTTCTAACTGCTTTAACTTTTGTTTCTTTGTGTATATCAGTTTGTGTGCTTATGAGCTTACTTGTAGTACTATAGTCAGTAAAACAATTTATAATACTGATTTCTAAAGTGACAAGGCATTAACATGATTCTGGCAAGATCTTAATATGATTTATGTATTTTTTTTTAATTCAAAACCCTTATTGAAATTAATAAAAAAGAATACCCACTGATTACAGATATTTGAGTCAACTTAGCTTTGACTAGTAAAGTAGATATTCCATTTACCTGCATGGCAAAGTATCCTGTTTTAGAATAAAAATGTACTTAATTCGCCGTTTTTTCATTAGGCTGCATAGTTTTACTCTAATTAAGAAACCAGACAGTATATTTTTACGTTTTCCATATCAGCGTAAACCACCTCAATCTCCTGTGTGACTTAATTATTAAAATTCAGTTGAAAAAACTGATAGGAGAAATGTCAGCAAAGTTTGAAAAACTTAACTAAAATTAAATGGTTTATGTTTATGCACAATACCTGCATTGGTCCATGTTTTTGGAGATGCAGTTCCAAAGACTACTAAGATAGCATAAAAAACAACTACCTTATCAATACTTCAAACACAATAATAAACAAGAAACAAAAACACAAGGCAATGCAAACATAAACAAGTTTATTGAGTCAATAAAATACAAATACATCGTATTGTTTACTAAAATAAGTGAATACAAAATGTTATTATTGAATAGCCCCGAAATATAGCAGCTTTTATTACACATTTTACATAAGATCTGTTACTAGATCTTACAAGTAAGTTATTTACATGAAAGCTAATAGAAATGAAACTAAAATCTATCAATATTAAATAACATAATTAAAAATCTATACAAAACATACAATAAATAAGATTGTAATAACAAAATAAACAACCTACATTATTTCTCTTTAAAAACAAAACATATAATTAAGAGTCAGGATTTGAGAAAATTACAAAAGGAAATCATATTGACAAAATAGTTCAAAGTCATGATGAATTTTTTTTGGGAAGTGCGGAATGTCAAAAGTCAAACATTGATAATGAAAAGAAGCACGTTAAAATGTATTTTATTGAGTATGTATATAAATATCTGTTAGTAATCACATGTCTTGAAAAAATAGTACCTTCCATAAGTGAAAAATTAAATCCTTGACTACCCAATTAATAATGTCAAAATCTGGGGAAAATATGAAAAACACAAACCTGACAAGTTTATTACTTTTTAATATGACAAACGAAACTATTCTCGATGAAATAAAACATAATATTACCTGAACGCTATTATTACAGTTAAAATCAATAATAAAGCAGCCAAAATCCATATTGGCTAGAGAAATGATTATTTTTCTCGGTCATGGGAACAAACTCATTATACAAGGTCAAGAGTTATGAGTGAATGTCTCACTTGAAACAATGAACAAATACGAGATAATTAACTAGTCTGGGAGCAATTAGGCACAAGTAATGGAAAACAGCTGAACTATTTTTGTCGTCTGCCATGTCTGCATGTATCCGGCAGATACAAAAGACAGGCAAATACCAACTTGTTAAAAATAATCAGACACTTCTTATATTGGCAAATAATATTTCTTATTAGCTTATTTTGAAAAAAAGACAAATAAATTAATCAAACAGAAATTGATTGTTTTCTCGTTATCATAAGAAAAAGTTGCTCCCAAACATTTTGACAAGTTAATGATCTTGCTATTGTACTTTGACATGTCGTTTAAAACTGATTACAGATCTGTACTCATGTTCCAATTTTATTTTAATCTTTGGCAAAGAAAAAACTACCTATCTGGAATGTATCTGTCAAACAAATGAGAGCTATTGTTAAAGTGTAACTTACAGTGCCTAAATTTAAAGCAACGAACAAAACCATTCGCAAAATAAAATCAAAACATGCTTAAAATATTCCTATCAGCACCAACATCGATCTCTAAAATGCAGACATCGAAAGCAAAATGCGATACGGTGGAACTAGCAGAACTACATATTGGAATCTGCACCTGGTAGAACTCGTAAGGCACAAATCGGTCACTCTATTTACAAGATTTACATGAGTCGTGTGACAGGTACAAATCACAATATCGGTGAGACGAAGGACGAAGGGTCAGTGCGCCAACTCACCATTGGGCTGCGCGTTGTGATTGGCAAGCTCTAGGTAGAGGTCATGGGAGGTGGTAGTGGTGGACGCGGGGGTCTCGGGGACGTCTAGTGGACGAGACCCGACGAAGGAGCTCTCCAGCCAACACAGTCGGCCCGTGCTGCCACGAGGGGAGGCTGACCTAGGACGATACATGAGTGTGAGTATATGACGTGTAGTATTTAAACATTATTGCCACCAAGAATGATTGTTCGAATATATGATATAGGTTACATACCTTTATCTGTCTTTAGTCTTAAATCAGTACTGTTCTAAGGCAGAAGACGAACAAATGTACATAACCTACTACATATCTAGGTGGTAATCTAGAAATGGTGTAATAAAATAGGTTTCCTTCAGTCTCATAATAAAATCCCTCCTGTAAATACTATAGACTTGCTTTTGTTCAGATAAGTTTTATTGAAACGTTTAATGTTTCTGACATCGACTGGAAAATAATCCACACACTTGTTGCTTTATACATAGCCACATAAACAAAAAAGTTACAACCTCCTTTGTTAGGTACAAAAAGTTATTAGGCAACTTTTTCCAATTTTGATTTCGTGTAGTACAGTATCGCTGCAAATTCTAGCTACCATACCATTGAAGGTTAGTTATTGACTTTGCGTTAATACAAAAATGTACCCATCAAAAAACTCTTACAACTTGTAAAGCAAACAAAATAAAACCAAGACGAATCTGTCTTCAACTAGTCTGTACATTGTTTTTATCTAATGTTGGTGTTCCTTTTCTAATGTTAGAGTTGTTTTGGACAATGAATGACAACTGTATCATTTATGGATCCAGTTTTGTGTCATAAAAAAAGCTAACTGATTTTAGTCAGGATTGAGGCGTCAATATGCTGAGCCACCGGCGAGTGCAATCACTCACTTCAGTGATTGCACTACTTTTCTTGTAGATACTTATCTAGCTTAAATACACCCTTAAATAGGCCTACCTATTGTTATTACTTATTAGGCCTACAAACAGCAAAGTTAGGTTACCTGGAAGAGCTGGTGTCGCGGTCCCATCGAGGGTTGAGGGCCGGAGAGAGTCTATCCGTTGAGTCCTTGGTGCCGGACACGTAGTGTACAATGGCCGACGTCACTTCCTTGATGGACGTCCGGACCTCGTTGAGGTTAGGAGCATTCTGCGGCTGCTGCCCACTCTCCTGTCACAAACAATACGAGTTAGGACGTCAGCCATTGTAAATTGAGATATTCTATGAGAAGTTGTATAGAACTAGCTCTGAAGGGTATTTTTGGTTACATTTGATTAGGAGTGCGGGATTCATTAGGTTAGGTTTTAAAGGTTAAGCGGTTATGTTTTTTTTAGGTTAGGTGGACAGGTTTGAGGTGAGGTTTTTTAGATAAGCCAACCAGTGAGGTTTTTAGATAAGTTTAGATTTTTAGGTTATGAGGTGAAGTTTTTAGGTTATGAGGTGAGGTTTTTAGGTTAGGAGCAATCTGTTTCTACCCAACCTATTTTCATAGAAATTAATTGTTAGTTTTGTATGAATCTTGTTCAAAAAGTCACAAAGACCCTAAAAAGAGTATATGGTTACATTTTTGAAATCTACCAAACCTACAAATCTAATTAAGTCAGAGTGAAATAGCACTTAAATGTACTTGATTATTCAATATGATTTTAAATTATGATTTTAGCTAACTAATGTCAATAGAATTTATATGTAGGTATGCTTTTGGAGTAAATTCAGAGTTTGGTAAAAGAGTGGTTATTCACTATTTACCCTTTCCTACTTTTAATGGATGGTCTAAGAATGGTAGAATTACGCCAGAAAGCTTCTAACGCAGTTTTAAATTAAAAACATACCAACCAAAAACACCACAGCTGCGGTTGACGTAGCCCTTAATCACAGTTTGGATTTGCAGTGAATTTCCAAAGAAACCAACATTTGATGTCTTTTGACTGACACTCCTATACTGCACTTAATTTCTTCTTCTGGGTAGCAAGTAATGAGCAGCAATAGGTAAACCATCAATGTTCACCATCGATGTACCAATAACACCGTTGCGAAAACATCAATGTTTTCAGGGCAAAAACATCGATAATCAATGTTTTATCATTTTATGTTTCTGTCTGCTTTCTACCTTAGCTAATTACCCTAGCTAATTGCTAGACGTTTTAGATTGGCAGTTTGCATTTCACATTTGCAAGATGGAATAGTTTATTATGCTAAATTGTATTATACTGGATCAGAAGTGCCGCCGCTGAAATTTTCACGAATGTACTAATTGTTTGCTGTTAGAACAAGTACCTCAACAATGTATGTAGTATACATTCTCACTCTATTCTTGTCAAGTCTAGTTCAGTTCACAATATTTTTTTATTCAACATTTTATCATCCTTTCAATAGAGTAAAATAAGAAAATTTAATTTCCTGTTATGACTAATATTTAAACATTATACAATTCAGTTCGGATACAGATTGAACTCAAACATAGACAACATTGTATTTCTGTAGCTAGCCAAAAACATCTATGTTCGACATACACATATATGAAAGAAATATCAGTAATCATTCCAATTAGCAAGTCAACTACCAGCTTAATTCGACACAGCACTCAACCGCAATTTGAAATTTGCAGAGACATTCTAGAGACTCCAATCAAAATTCACGTTTTCGCTCTACACTCGATTACTGCACTAACCTGCTGTTTCTTCTGGGCTAGCAGGTCGGCGGCCATTCTCTCGGCGGGTGTACGTGGTCGTGACAGTCTCTCCTGGGACCGCCACCCGAGGTAAGGTTGGCGATAGTTGAAGCTAGACCTGGTAGAGCCGCAGGGTGAAGTACTTGTCGAGGTGGCATTACTGCCTCCACTTAATCTGCTGGTACTCCATCGGGAGAAGACTGCCGACGTGGGGCTCGGACTTAGCGCATGGCCTGTGTTTATAATTAATCGTTATGATGAGATCTAATTGAATTGTGCTGCAAAATTGTATTCTACTGTTTTCTATCGCTCACAAAGAAAAATGATCAACATAATATCTGTGTCGCAATCAGTTTCATTACTGACATTACTGATATTAGTTTTTTAAATGTATCATTGTTGATACATGCACATCATTGTTGACTAAATGTAAACAAAGAATTAGAACAAAATGTCAATTTAATTGTAATATTTGTAAATCTCTTTTAGATTGGAACTGCTTGGATAACATATTTGCTTTTTCTTAGTGTGTTGCGGCAGTTTGGCATTTTTAAAGGGAAAATCACAAACAATTTTAGGGGAACTGGTCAAACCCCAAAATTTTGGTTGGGATATGCCAAAGTATTGTAACCCAAGATCAACTTTAACCTGTTACTCTCTATTTTGATCTGAAGAGTTAAGTATTAAAAAAAGAGGAAATATTTGAGTTTATTATACTTTGTAATTATGCAATAATGTTTATATGAAATTGTGATGTATACATTTTAAGGTTAAAATCTTGCCTGGACAGGGTAGGTATAGTCATAGTTTTATGGAGAAAAAAATTGATTAAAGGACAAGTTTAAGACGGTTTTGTCTTAATGCTGCTATGTATAAAACCATCATGTCCGGTTGTGCCCCAATCAAGAGCCCATGAGAAAAAACCCAAATTCAAATTGACTATTATTTAGGCAGGGATAAAATATGTAAATCCATATTGTGAAGCGTTTTAGAGAAAATTCTGGATATTACGACATCCAAAAATGTATTTTATTTTGAAATATTTTTCTGTGAAGGATATTTTTCTTTCATCATATGATCAAGATACCAGTTTACCCCCATGAAAAATCCTGCAGGTGGCCATTGATAAAAAGACACAAATAGGTTTTTATTGAGTAGGCTAGTTTGAGCGAATAGCCTACTGTGGTAATTTTTTAAACAGTTATCACAACCTTTATCGTGTGCGTTTCCTCAGTAATTTTACAGCTTTGAACGATCTGATAATAAGTTTATTCTTTATTCACAACACAACCCCTATGATCTGTGTTTTGTAGGTTTATCTTACAGCCTAATTTCCTAACCTACAGATCTTTATCATGGATACTGACTGTTAGGACTGCGAGGTGTAGGCGCGGCAGACTGTGTGGACCCAAGGCTGGACAGTGAGGTCGTCTTGTTGTGAAGCCCCGGCCATCCCCCGTGACTAGCTCCTGCCCCGCTCAGCCCCGCATCACTGCCCCGCTTCAGCAAGAAGCCTTGCGCAGGCAACTGTGAGTTGCGGTACCACTCGGGCACGTTGAGCTTCTGTAGTGAGCGCTGCACTCGGAGTTGGTGCTCGGACATCACTCGATCCCCACCCACCTTCTGCAGCTCATTCTCTGGGGGCTGGAACAATAGAGAATAATTTATTAGTTTTGTGATAAGAAAAGATGTAAAACACAAGTTATAGCTGGAATAGATCTTTAGAAAAAAATTAAAATGCCAATGGTGTAGATAAAGCTATAAGCTATTTGGTGAGAAAAATATTTACATGAGTGGTTATTCTAAAGGTTTCTTTCGTTCTTAATGAATAGTACAAATCATAACTGAGCTTAACTCGTGGAAATAAAAATAGAAATAATTAAGTGTGTGGGATCTCACTAAACAAAATCCAAACTATTGGAGAAGAAAATTAACCAAAGAGCAAGAAGAATGCTAAGAAATGGAGTTAAAGTTTTAAGTGTAAAAAAATCTCATTTTATTGGAGTTATTGTACTAAATTTGAGTTACAATATTAAAGAAAGTAAATTTCAACCACCTAGAAAGGCTACCTATACCGTAGTTAAAATTGTAGGGTACCATTAGTAGAAATGTCGAAGAACCAAAGAGGACCTATGCATCTAGAGGGTGTTTATACAAAGAAAACTAAACGTAAGTATGGTTATGAATAGTAGGTAATATTTAATTGCATGCAAAACCGATCACTGAACATCACTAACAAAACTGTAGCATATTTTTGCAAAGCATACGGCTAAGACTAAACCTTAAATGTTAAGGGGAAAGGAGAGGAGTTGAAGAATAATTGTTTAAACTTAAAAACTTATCAGAGCTGGATCATTTGCTATTTTAAACTTGAAATATTCATTACATTTTATACAAATGCTTCTATTTTTGTATCCATATCCACTGACAAGGTAAAATGAGCTCAAGTAGGAGATTATCTTTATCTTATCTCTTATAAGATTTGTTAGTAACAGAAAACAGAAGGTAAATTTGGAACACACTAGGGCCTACCATACTGCTTTTAATGTGACTTTTAAGATTCTTTACAAGAAACAAATAAATTGTTAAACGCCAACTAAAACCATATATTTTACTACAGTTTAGCACCAAAAATCAATGAGTAACTTAAAATGTACATCAAGAAACATGGTAGGATCAAAACTTTAAACTCTGTAGACAAGTTTACGGCTATGTATATTGTTGAACATAGTGTAGGCCAAGATAGATTGATGGAGATGACTACCCATTTCGGCTCAACTGATGGATACATTGTATCAAGTGGGGTTACGTAATAGCTCACTTGATCAACACTTATCTATCAAACTGTCAAGGTGACCTAACTGTGTTGTGCATATTTTTACTGAACCGTTTAATAAACTGATATTGGTCTAGACCTAGCTATGAGGGAATGTGAGAGGGTTGTATGTACGGTACATGTAAGTATATCGTTTACGACCTCTTCAAATCAATTAGGCCTACTTATCTAGCAAAAAGGATATTTTGAAATCTAATTGTAGTTAACCATACAACTTTTCATAGACTCAAATTGTTTATGAAGTACCTAATTAACTTATTTTGTATTTAGGCACACGCTAATAAAAATTTTTAATATTGGTAAAGATTACAATTTTTTTTTTTTAAACAAGTACCTAAGTCCTAAGTTACATACCATATTTTAATAAGCAAATTATTTTATGAAATTTACTAGTCTTAGGAATATTTAAGTAATTAATCAAAGAGTTCATTACTCAAAGTTAACATACATTCTTTTGTGAAAGCAAATTAGGAATTAATTCGTTTTTATTTGATGATTTTGTAAATTATGAAAGTTGAATATACAGAATAGGCCAAAGGCCCTAGCACAACAATAAACAATATAATTATTGATAATTTACCTGGCCTAGTTGATAGTAACCTATAAACCACAAACCTATCTCAACAACTTCTCTAGTAACCTCAAAGGCTTACTAAGGTCAAACTTTTAAAACTACTTTTAATGTTAAAAAGTATGAAACGCTGTACATTACCCGATATTCATAGACACTCGTCATCAAAAATAATTTAACCTGTATCACGAAACAACTTTCTTATCTACAGTAATGACAGCTGCAGGCCCGATTCTTCTTGAAATGCTAATCGTCTGCGCGGAGTGATACGATAGCACTGAATAAAACAACAGCTGATTGGCTGATGAGGCGTCGAGGACGTCGGTACAGCTGATACACAAGCAATTGCCTCATTGCTGTAGCTATTGATACCGTTCTTGCTGGCTCTTTCATTGCATTGCCGTGCAATAATGCTTTCAAAGGGCGGACCAATTACCATCGATGACGACTCACAGGAAATTAACACCATAAAACTAGTTCATTCAGGGAATTAGTGGAACATTCTGGCTCTCAAATATTGTATTGAGAATCTGCAACATCATTTAGAATTAGAATTGCCTTGACTGTGAAATCATTTTGTCATGTTACAGTAAATCAAATATATAAAATACAAGGATATAAAATGTAAATGATTGATTGTTTCGTGTAAACTTTAACATTTGTGTTAGCATGAATCCTTCATACGAGATAGTCGGCAATAACCTTTATACCTAACATGAAACGGAATTCGTCAGCTATAACAAGATTTGACAATCTAATAACCCGGCAGCGTCTTCCAGCAGATAATAACAAATCGATGTGTTACGGCAGACATGCAACGGTATGTCGTTAAACATGGTTCTTGTTCGTGCAGAAGTTGGTAGACCTGAATTGTCATCTGTAGCGGAACAGGAACAGCTGATGACGTATGGACTGCTAACATGCACAGCTGTTTACGTAGCTAGACGCATATCAGCTGTGAAATTCATTTATAATCCTTAATATAGATATTGGATGCTGAAGATATTCCATCATAGACAGCTACAGCTACGTTTTTCAGATCTAAATGAGAACATTGCTGAATGAGCCAGCACAGAAAGTAAGGTTAATCATGCTATGAGTTTATTGGGTAGTTTACAACAAATTACACTTTCCTTTTGGCGTTCACGTTTTCTGATCGTTTTACACATGAAATAAGATGTTTAATATTAATTTTACAGTAATTGTATCAATGGTCAAAACTTACAAAAGAGCTTTGAACTGTAAGTTATTCGTTATTGAATTAATCAAAACTAGGTAAATATAGTGTATATATTTACTTCTCTATTTTATAACTAAAATCCCCAAAAATAACCTCCGTCTCTATTACCATAATTAGAACAGATAACATGGGTGATGATATGAGTCGTATTGGTCTATTGTGAGCCATTGTATGCTTTGGTTATCGAGCTATATCCAATAACAAACACAATACGTTGGTTAGGGTTCTAGATTTGGTTCTAAGTATATATTGACGCTGACCAATTGTGTACAATTCCATCAATATGTTATTGATGTCTGTTATTGAAAACGCATTGTAAAATGACCTTCTGAAAATAATTTTGGGAGTGATCAATGGCTTATTTCAAAATAAATTTTTCATTCCACTATACTCGTAGATTCTTAAACTTGTGTGGTACCGGTATGCGTTTTTTGTTCGGAACACTTGATTGCGCTGATATCGTACGTGTCTAGGTAGGCAAACAGTTACACCGCTCGCCTCAAATCTCAAGGTTGTTGGTTCGATCCCTACCGGAGACGAAGGAAAATAAATATCGTTGTAAAACATATCGCTTTACTAGCTTGTTGCCTATAAAATAAATACAATTTTTTTAGGACCTAGGACGCTATGTTGTGGCCCGGATATTTTCACATTACTTCAAGCTAGGCAGGGGTTTCGACATTTTTACTTAGATATCCATTGGTGATTGGCAGGATTTGAACCCGGGACCTCAAGGACCAAAGTCCCGTTCCCGTGGTATTATCTCCATGTGAAAAAAACTCCCTTTACATAGATGAATCTAATACGGTTAGTCCTTAAAGAGCTCATTTGTGGTGCATACTATCAAATTCTCCAGTATGTTATTCTTATGGAGAATATTGTAAAATATTGTAGTTTGCTTATTTATGGATATATTTTGGTCAAACTTGGCAAATGTATTTATCTTATACTAAACTATTAGGTAATATTTTACTAAAAAACACTTTGTTAGTTTACCTGTAGCAGCAAAGCTATAGGTACTCGTTGAACCTTGAAAACTAATTCAGACAAATGGAAATTCGCTTAGAGGCAGGTTTGCTGCGGCAGGGGTATTTTAATACAAAGTTGGCGACAGCTGGATATAGATGGTATGTCAACTTTGTTATCCAATATCGTCAATGCTAATAAATAGTCAAAGCTAATATTTTATCGTACAGCATGCACGCCAACCTAACCTATAAACCATAATCACACAAAAAATAGTACCTCGTATCTATAAGTATTGCGCTTCTTTGGTGGCAAATCAGAGTCGAACATAATCCTGAGTTTGATATAAGTGTACATCCTCTGCAGAAACGCATCATCACGTTTCCTGGACGACGGCATGGCGAAAATAAACTTGTGGAAGTCGAGGAACCAACTGCATACGGAAACAACACGATCTATACTGAACTAATCTGAACTGATGGCGCTGGAGGAAAAACTTGTACGCGATAACATGATGGACTTTGACCTAAGCCTTCTAGATCTTGATTATTTGTTTGTACAGTGACTCCCGAAATTATCGGTTCGAAAGCTGTCGGAAATTCGCCTTGTGAAGATTGGGTGCATGTTTGAATAGCGATAGTTTCACTCATCCAACAACAACAGGGTAATTGTTTACGATAACAGTGGGAGTTTTGTTTGTTATTCCTCAATTTGTTGTTTAGAGTTCATCGGTTTTTCGTTAATAGTTTTTCGTTTTGTTGATACAGTAAGTGGATTGTAACGTTGGTGTGGATCTTTCAGAATAGGAATTACATGCAAGGCTAAATGATTTTTATATAGCTCCCTCCTCTACTTGGTCGATTTCCATGTATTTCTGTAGTATGAGCGAAACTGAACTTTAAGGTCTGAGCAGTTTATATATATATATACACAAAGTGAATATATATTTTTGGTTAAAGGAGATCGCGTATTACGCATGGAAAATTGTAATGCACATTTTATACCACTTGAATGATCTTTGGAAACTGGCT